CTAAAAAACCCTTTTTGAGACCTCCAAAAAGCATAACGTTCAAACCGCAAGTGCTGTGCACTTAAAAGCTCAGAAGCCAGGCGTGCTACTTTCACTTTCTGCGTTCCACATTCGCGGCCCGGTCATTCCGCTAAGCCGGCTGCGTTGCATCAGCGATTATGTCATTGGAATTTCATGTGCTGGAGCATTTTTGTTTACACGGCATTGTGAAGGACGAATACCCCACAGGACTTTTCAGATTTTACATTGCTTTAAAAATCGAAGACGTTCTGATTATAACTTTTTTTTTATAAAAATAATGGAATTTTCTTTTTCGTTTATCTACAGCCAGCTGTATAGACGGGTTCGAAAATGCCCGTATATCCTGTAATCAGCTGCTTTGGAACAGATCGATTTTGAAGTGAAAAACTTGCGTTGATGAAACTTTATAATTTTGAGGACAACAAGAAATACCTACCTCTTTGAAAAAAATAGAAGATACTTCGTCGAGAAAATATTATAAATAAAATTAATTATTCTAATTTATGCAAATTTTATTTAAGTTTGCATTATGCATAAATCTTGTTCCAATTCGTAAAAATAACTAAATATTCTATTGCCATTTTATAACTTCTCACGTAAGTAAATAACTTTATCTTCACTGTTAATTCATTTAAATCACGTTACTTACGATATGACTATTGTGGAATAATCTCAATGGTTAGTTTTCATATACAATATTTAGTTGGCAACTATCCTCCGACACGAACGGACGCGCACGAATATAATAAGAAAAAAATTAAACTCGATCAATAAATATGAAACGCCTGATACACTGATACTGGTTGATTTCAGAATATACAATAGTTCATATCTGCAGTAGCGACTGGAGTTTAAAAGGCCATTGAGTAGCCTCGTATGTTATTATATATTTTATAAGAACGATCTTGCTATATCAATCACCTTTTTTTTACTGTAGACAATGTTTTGATGATTCTAAAAGTAAAAGAAGAAAATCTAATAAAAAGAGTACACAATCTGTCTTGAAAATCTATTTTCGAATCCGATTCAAAAACGATCTATAGAGTATAGACGATGAAATGAAAAAGTTCGAAATACGAATTCTTTACATCGATTATTTTAGGCGTAAATTTAGGCATAGGCAGTATAAACGCTTACATCCGTGCAAACGACAGGCGAACATGCGAACACACCGCGAAAGTTGTGGGAAAACATATGATACAAATAATATGTAGGGTTTCATAACTCTAGGAAGTTCATAACTTTAACTCGGTTTAATTGCACAATTGTATAAGCCGGTATACATTCTACATTTTACAATAAACAATAAGTACTGTAGTAAAATTTATTGCGGTAGCGTGTAACATGGAAGAAAATTCATTTGTATCCTGATCGGTGCGTAACCCTACTAATACTATAAACGCCAAAGTTTTTAAGGATGGATCGGTCTTAAGCGTAAAAACTAAGTACTGAACGGATTTTGATGAAAATTGGCACAGAAGTGGATTATAATCTGAAATAAGATAAAGAATAGTTTTCATTCGCGGGCGACCCCGCTGGTGTTGGCTAGTTGTTTAATTTTTTTTTTTTAATTTTTAATTTATATTTTTATTTAAGGGATAGGTCGGCAAACGAGCTGTCATATTACATGATGGTAAGCAACCGGCGTCGCTCATGGACGCCCGCAATACCAAAAGAGTAACAAGTGCGTTGACAGCCTTTTGGGGATAAGGGTTACGGATATTTAAGGATTGAGCAGGGATGGGAGAAGGGGGAGGGATTGGGCCTACGGTAACCACACTCACACGTTTGGACCACCACAGACGGAGCCCTAAAAGGCTGGTGTTCAGCCGGGGTTGCGGGGTAAGCGCAATGAGGAACCGCGACCTCGGCCCAGAGCAGGAGAAGGAACAGGGGGGTTTTTAGTCAGTAAGAGTCTGCCACTCCCTCTCGCCCGGCCCTGGGCGGGAGAAGTCATAATGAAACATTAAGTGCTAAATAATATGCTGTGCCAATTACAACGGGGATAGACTTACGAAAATGACCACAATCGCGGTTTGAGGTTAGATACGTGACATGTATACAATTCCCTTTACATATTTGATTACAAGTTAATCAAAGTTATTATTCTACTCCTTAATAAACTTAAAACACAATAAGCAGCTTAGTGGGGGTAAGAATAGGATACACTAGTCATCACCCCCACTACGGTAATATTTATAAACAAATAGCGACGCGCCCCGGCTTCGCACAGATCAGATGGATCACCGCTATTTAAGGGATGTTACTATACACATTATAAACCTTCGTCTTCAATTAATCTATCTAAAACATCACAATCCGTTGCGTATTTTCAGAGATTTTTTTTCTTTTTTAATAAGACGTTGCCCGACATTAGAATTCTCTACAAAAATACAACTTCACATACACATGACACCCAGACCCGGAACAACAATTTGTGGATTACACAAAGAGTTGTTCCTTACGGGAATCCAACCCGCGACATGTTGCACAGTTGCCAAGCCACCGTACTATCGGTGCAGTCAAGCAGGAACAATTTGTGGATTACACAAAGAGTTGTTCCTTACGGGAATCCAACCCGCGACATGTTGCACAGTTGCCAAGCCACCGTACTATCGGTGCAGTCAAGCAGGAACAATTTGTGGATCACACAAAGAGTTGTTCCTTGCGGGAATCCAACCCGCGTCACGTTGCACGGCAGCCAGTTGCCCAGCCACCGTACCAACCGTGCAGTCAAGTATATTTAAGCAGATATAGGGCCAGAGAAAGCGACTTTGTTGAGTTTAGAATTGAGCCTCTGGTAACCTCACTCACGAGACGAAACACCACTCTGAGGTTATTTCACGCCATTTTCTCTGAGGCCGTGGTAACACTCCAGTCGAGCCGACCCATTCGTAATGAAGCTTGGCACTCCCACATTTAAATGAGATGATAATATCAATTAAACTAAAAATCGCGGGTTACTCACGTCTATACATTGAGAAAAGCGTCGCGCAGCTCCTAGTTGAGCTTTTCTCAATTTATACATGTGAGTGACCTGCGATTTTTAGTTAATTTTGTATGTCTCACGATAGTTATTATGATGATAAGTATCACACAAAATAAAAGGAGTTTTTCCCAAGCGTTTGGCTTAGTCGGAAAGTAAATACGTAGTAAAGTGAATGCCTTTGAGACCATCTAAATAGGTGGGTAGCAGTGACCTGTTGCGTTAACTGACCTTTCTAAACGGAAACTAAGTAAAGTCGTTTCTGGTATCTTAGTACAAACATATACAGCATACATATTAGTATGCTTAGATAAATACTGTTTGTAGCTAGGTCTGGTAAAGAAAAGATACTCTAGACCAGCATGGATTAAGAACTAATGATCGAATTACACAAGTGCCCACTGCTGAGCAAAGGCCTCTTCTCACATGGAGAAGGTTGAGCATTAATCACCACGCTTCCTCAAGGCCTCGAGGCGGATTTGCGATTTCAAACTTATAATGAGAAATTACAAAACCAGGTTTCCTCACGATGTTTTCGTACCGTATGTCAGTGGTGTCTAAATAATCATAGAAAGTACATATAGCTCAGAAAGTCACATTGATACTTGCCAGGTTTCGAACCCACACTCTCATGCATGAAGAAGCGGCCTTAACCACTAGGCCATCGCGACATTATTGAAAAAATAGTTGGGCCACCTTAACTCATAGTTTTTGGATCGATAATGGTTTTTGACAGGTAAGTTTGAAAAATTCTTATTAAAATCGCCCATATTACATATGGTGCATGTTAGCCATAAAAGCTATATAGGGACGATGGTCCCTAAACCAAAGAAATAAGACTGTGTAGTTTCTGCTGGAGTTCATTAGAATCTCGTCTAGTTCTACAGTCCTAGCTAATTCTTTAGGGAATCCTCGTGAGTCTTTATAGACAAAAACGTGCTAGGTAGTATACTCTACCTTACTTCATTCTAATTATATGACCACATAAGATGATTAATAAGTGGGATCAAACTGTACAACGAAAACTTTCTTCTAAAACAAATCATTGGACGATCCTGAATTTCCTCACTCTCAGAACAAATTCCTAACAATAATGTACTTTATAACATGGAATTACAATCTAAATTCAATCATAAAGTTAAGCTTTACCGTTCGGTTAAGCCGTGTGACTAATGTTTTTGGTGCATTTACCTCGAACGGTAATTTTTTGTCCCGCTCACATCAAGAGGAAAGAAAGAGAAAAGGGAAGCGCCTGGTTCTTTTCAATTATTATTTTATAATTCGAACAAGCTTTTGTATAATATTTTGCAATAGTTTGTTGATGTAATGGAACGTTGTAAGACGATCATATTCATAACAGACGGACGAACGACTAAAAAAGAAAAACTTTTTGGCATTTTACCTAACATACGTATATTCTCTACATCTCCCAAAGGCTGGCTGATACTTAGGCAAACTTAGTGCCAAATGCATTCCTGCTGTTGCATGAAGATCAAATAAACATGCGTATTAAATATGTTGACGAAGTTATTATTTTTGAACTTTACTGCCGGCACAGATGATCAAAGTAAACTGTTTCTAAAAAACACACAATATTCCTTTGTTTTGATGTAGCCATAGATAGACATTCGATTAATACACAGCCTTTTTCTGTTTGATAACGTGAAAATTTCAGTATGATATCAATAACGTGTACCTACATAGTAAAAACAAACTACAGTAGGTACAATTTAAATACCGAATACAATGCCCATTGGTGGAAGAATGTTTTTAACTTTAACATTGGATTTTTGGTTCTGTACTGCGAGTGTAAGAACCTACAATTTTAGATCGGGTATCATCGATCTCGAATAAATCTTAAGTTTTTGAAATGTAATATTCAATTCACCTGCAGTGCGTGGAGATTATAGCAAACTCGACTCTTAAAGGTAGATAGAACATAGTCTACCATCTGCTGACTATTTACGTATGTAAAAATATAAGGTAAACTAACCTGTTTGTGATATGGTAGCGTCATCGCGTTCCGTCTGTGTCAGACCCATGGCTGGTCGCGCGCAAGCTTCATCACTGGAAACATATCACTATTTATTAACTTACCCTTATGAATGAATGAATGAAGAAATTGTAGAAAGAAAAAATAATAAATGAATGGTCGAAAGAAAAATGGAAGACTGAACAACAAATGATTATTTAACCACATAAAAATTTGAGAAAAAAGATTTTTTTCCATTTTTCTCCTCCTCAAGTCACTCTTTGAATAACAACAACCAAAAAATGGCGCTGAGTTAACCAACAGTGGATTAGAATTTCGAATCTTTTTAAATCTTTTCATTTTCTTTTTATTCTTTTTCATAATCGATAACCAATCATTCATCCACGACCATAGATTTCATTGAATTATTGAAAAAAAAAAAGCGAGACAGATTGCTGACACATATAAAGATAAAATACCGGCGTATGATCGCTTCGGCATTTTCACACTTTAATGGACTTCGATCACGTAAGGCGATACATGGTCTGTAAACTTTGAGTGTTGCAGTAACTAGAAATTACGATCTCAGACTCAAGTAGCGAGAATGGCTATAAGAACGATTTCGTTAATTAGTTGGGATTTACTTTTTATTAAGCAATAAAGCACCCATATCTAAAAAAGAGCTTATTCAATGGGAAGTTGAAGACACCTTGACAGTGTGTTGAAACTTATAAACAACTAGCTACTTTCGCGCTGTTTCACCCGCTGCTCGGCTCCATTTTGCCGCAGCGTGATGTTTTATAGCCTATAGCACTCAGGAACATTGTAGCTATCTATCAGTGAAAGAATTTTGGAAATCCGAAAATAATATTGGTGTTTCTTACTCATCTTTTCTTATCTCTTCCAGGAGATTTATAGAAATAAAATTTCTTCTTATTGAATTTAAATTAGAATACTAGTCTTATCAAATATGTTACCTCAACAATCTCTCCCGGTAGCACACCACAGTGCGTCTTTCGTCACTAACTCCGATTGAGAAGGTGGCAAGTTCTGGACGACCAAGCTGTTCCACTGAGTTGTGTATCAGGAACCGTCGGTAATTACTCACTGGAGGGAACACTAGTACACTGCAATCAAAATCTAAGGTTAATGACATAATATTGGCAATTAATTTACAATGGTCTGAAATGCATTCAACATTCATTATTTCTTACTAAAGAGTTCCTAATGAAAAAGTCCTCCTTGGTGACATTAGACCATTTGAAAGATATTAAAACAGTCTCTAAACTATGGCTATACTTTTGTCTATCTAGTACAATAAGTAAACATATTGGACATAGCTATTTTAAAACTGTGAGCCAAAAACTTATGCCTGTATTAATTACTGAAACATTATAATTAATGACACTGTCCAAGCTGTGTGTTTGTTAAGTTCTATACAGTGTAGTACTTGTCCACAGAGACTTTTTTCTGGGCATCTATTGTTTTTTGCAACAAAAAAAAAATATTATAAAAGGTTAACCAGATATTTATTTTTTAAACTGTGATCATCCCTAAAAACTGAGGAATTTTATTTAGACTGCTCCAATTAGTTTTGACCACATTATTCACCATGTGTATTGTGGATATAATAATAATCAATTACAGAAATTATTCTAGTAAGTAGCTATTATGACTGTTTTTTTTTAATTATTTTTTGGTTTTCTGATTGTTTTTATAGCTTTTTATTTATACCTAATAACATAGAAAAAATAAAGGTTCAATAAAATTTGGCCGTAATTACGCATGAAACAGAAAAACTTAGCACATTATTAATTCTCGCGAAAAAAATAGCATTCCATTACAGTCTTTGCGGCTAGGCTTGATTTATTGAAAAGAAACTAGCGTTCCCGTGCATGCAATATACCGGTAATTAGCGGGCACGGAAACAGCATGTTGCCGCACTTTTTGCAGCTCCGTGAATATTTTATCAGCGTTCAAGGTGTCATCTCGCCTCGCATCATTTGATTTGCGACCTACGCTCGTTTGCGCTTGACACTTATTAACCTTGAAAATATCCAAGCGATAATACGATACCGCTACAAACTATAACAGGTTCTACAAGCTCAAATTATCAACAAAAATACACTGAAATCATTAAAAACGAGATAATGCCCCTGAATAACAATAAAGATAAAATTGTTTACCTGTCAACTCTTCCTTCGGCAATAAAACATTTCAGGTCTTCGTTGACATCTTCGACAAAGTTGTCGTCTGCAAGACTGAAGAAACGCTCTACCGTTTTGGCACCCAGTTTGACGGACAAATGATAATTACAAATAATTAAATAAAAATATCTATTCACGTGCCAAACGGGAATCTATCGGCCATCCATTTTCAATTTACTCACACATGGAGAACTATAAATAAATATATTTGCATTCACGCACACATTCTTAGTTGAAATGTCAAACGTAGTGATGTGAATCGATTCCACATTTAGTCGAATTATGAAAACCGGTACTTTTGTACGTTATTTTCATGAATTTACAAGTTAATTCATATTGCCAGTTTATTATTCATATTTTCGTCACTTGTCGACCGTTTTATACAGTAGTAGCTTTTGCTCGCGACTCCGTTCACGTGGAATAGTGACTTCCTGCAGATTTTTGGTATATAAACTATCTTATGGCCTTTCTCGAGTTCCAAACTTCACAGAAATCGGTTTAGTAGTTTAGGCGTGAAGAAAAGACAGACAGATAGACAGAGTTACTTTCGCATTTATAATACTAGTATAGTTATAGCAAAGGAAGAAAGGGATCAGTCAATGGATATTCGTAATAAGCAATCCAAAAAAAATTAGTTCTACGATTGCTATGAAATGCGCATGATCGCTGATGAACCTTGTCACTATCTTTTATTTTCTACAATACTATTCAGTTTTATATAACATAATATACTGTGGAAAGATGGAAGTCATTAAAAAAAAATAGGTGCACAATATTCACTACAAGGGTAGGGGTTATATCTAAAGATTTAAAATGAAAAATGGCAATTAATATATTTCACTTTTAAATATTTATTTCATTAAAATTAAATTACAAATATATCCATCAATTAATTAGAAATAAAAAAGTATTCGTTAATACTTTTACCCTTCGAGATTTCTTTTAAATTTAATTTTATCAAATAATAACTGAAGTATGTTAACAAAAGTAACAAAAACTAAAAATATACATCTAGTGAAACATAAAATACATGAATTAATTGAACTATTAATACACATAGAATTCACCTAAACAATTTGACTTTGAGGAAGGTAAAATTAAACTAAATTAAATGTTAACTTCTTATTACTAAATACAAAAAGTCACTTCCCTTCGGATTTAATTGCATATTGAATTTGCACAGATAATAAAGATTACTGACATACCAATACAGATTACAAATACAATCATAATAAGATCCACATAAAATTGACGAAGTGCCCATTGAAAGTACTATAGGTAGTTTAAATAAATATGTATAAAAATAACAAGGAGCCTAGGTGGTTAGATATATCTTTAGTTATAGCCAGGAAGTGAGAAGTCGTATTGTAGTACCCAGATATAAAATTTGCATATCAATCTTTGGAAAGAGACATTCAAGCACACAAAATTGTGTTACTCCAAAATTCAATGTGGAGTATTTATAGCCGGGTACTGGAGTTGTATTACATATAAAAATACCATCCACCTACAAATCAATCTTAGGTCTATACTGCAGTCTCAGTGGAGGGTCTCGGAATCGCCAACGTGTTACATAGACAAACTTTAATGTATGGTCCTTGCCTAATAATTCATCATTGCATAGTATGTCAATCTGAAAATGAAAACATAACCAAATTAATAATGCTTTAGGGCCTGTAACATAACTCATGAACAAGATAGCTTTACTACTTAGATTTATCAATCGGTTTCATTTTGCAGAATTAATAAGAACTTACAAGGTATACAACTAAACTTTCAAAGATTATAAAGATAGAATAGTTAAATGTTTTTTAAACATTTTTAATATTTAACTTACTTCTCTATATTTCTCCATTCCGCTTAACACTTTCTTAGCTATAAACTTCTTGAGATGTGTGATTGTAGCTTGCGCTGAGCACCGGATGAAGCTGCGCTTCAGAGTCCGTAATGACGTTGATATGCACTCCAGGCAAACATTTACCTGAAACAGAAGCAATATAGATCCAATTGAGTTTTTATTTTTCTATAGTTCCCTTGAGTATCTTAAAAATCATAAACAATTTATAATAATTATGTTTTTACAATATGGACTCGCTACTGCCTGTAAGTCTTAAGCAAGTGACTTGTTCTAAACTGTTTATTTGAAGGACAAACATGTAAAGTATTCATTACAAATGCTACTTCCTCAAGTATAATTTTATGAGAAATAATATGTATTAGTAGGTGCCTCCCACTTAAAATACACCTTAGCATTATATAGGTACTAGTGACCCAACCTAATTTTGCCAGGTGCAATGCTCATTTATATATTTATTACTTAATTTTTCCACTAGGAGTGATATTCAAAGCATGTGGACTCTCTATGTGATATAATGCATATCATTTGAATTTTTTATACCTTAAAACTAACATTGCATACCTGTTCATCTTTCCTATGACAATCAGTGTTATCTGGCTGTTCAGGTTCATCAGCACCAGGCTTGTCTGCAGCCAGGGCCGCATCCTTGGGGCAAGGCAGATTGCGGGCTCGGTAGAAATCACGTTCACGTTTTATTTCATCTGAAATCAGTAATATTTTAAATTAGCATTGATTTATGTACACATTTTGTTGATAGCCAACAACATTTTTTATTTGGCTTCCTCATGGAGAAAGTTATGTTATTCTATAGTCAACAAGTGTAGGGAAAATATGTAGTTTCAGGTCAGTTAAACTTAGTAAAAAACTTTCAGTAGTTCAACTGATTGATGGGTAAATCTTTGTAATTCAACTTTTTCTGATTTACGAAAACCTTCAACAGCCTTTAACAATTTTTTTAGATTCAAATTTTTAGGAACACCTTAAGGGCTTTAAACTTACATAATTGTTTCTTAATTAGTAATTTGGAAGGCTTTAGGGGACTTTTTAAATAGAAAAGTCAATAAATAGGGAGAATTCCATAAACTTGAACTGTAGATTGTTTCTGTAGAGATTATTGTATAAAACCTCTTTGTTACGAACATTCAAAGAGTTATACTTACTGTCCTGCAAGTCTGGCACTAACTTATACACTATATCCTGCATTGTCCGGTCGAAGCTGATATACTGTAATGGGTGGGACTGGTGTATCACTATGTCGCATGTTGGACATGTGTTGTTCTCCTCCAAATGTTTCACTAAGCAGCTCTTACAAACTGCAATTAAACAAAGAAGTTTCTGTATCATATTAACAAATTTATGGTTTTTAGCACTAGGCATTATGAGGTTTGTCCTTCGCCATTATATCAAGATCAAGGCAAAAATATAGCGGGAAATATTGATCGGTCTCTATGATCTTGAATGTCATTGGCTTCGGTACTACACATTACTATATTAAATTATTGTGATGAATCTCGTTGTTACTTGGGATTCTTAATAAGAATATCACTTAATATTTTAATAACAATTAAGATATAATAGCACTAACACGTATGAAGACACTCGGTGACCGTGGTCGCGTCGATGAAGTAGCCCCGACATATTTTGCAAGTAATGTGACTGTTTAATGCTTTCAACTTTATCCTCCTTTCCATTGTCATCCTAAAACTAAGGTGGAGCCAAAAACATTAGTGAAACTAACATAAAACGGATGGAAAAATAAAAAAATTAGAACACAAATGCAAACTACAATCAACAACTCAACACTTCAAACGCGTTTTGTTATTGCAAAGTTACGACAGGCGACAGCTCATAAATTAACAGATAAAAAATTACATTCATGTGCTTCATAAAAGTCAAAACGTGGTTTAAAAACTCACAATATGTAAAATTAAATTTCTCTCCATGTTTTTATTAATAATAATAATATTTTTTACTCGTTGGTATTAAAGAATTTTTGTTACAATTATTTCTAATTTCGTAAGATTTTGATGGTTATGATGTTTGGTGATAGCAATATCGAAACGTTTTATACGATTTGTTTTGTAAACGAAAAGCACGAAATCAATTAAATTATATAATATATATTCATATAGATATGAAATATGGTATGGAAGAATTTCATTTCAACAAAAGTCAGTTAAGTGTCAGTGGCCATGCTTAGGCACGAATGTCCGGCTCGACTGGTGTGATACCACGAACTCGCAAAAAAAACGGCGTGAAACAAGAATACCCCCATACCTCTAAATCCCATGAAAGAGCAGCAACGCATTTGGAACTCTTTTGCTATTTCGAGTATCCATGGGTGGCGCCAATTGCTATCATCTGGCAAACCGTTTGCCGACGTATCACGTAGAAAAAAATATATTTTTCGATAGCATTGGTTATTAGATAAAGTTTAAAACCGCAAAGAGCATTTTATAGATTAATTTTAATTCAAAATAAAGTTAGTTTAAAGTGTTGGAATGTGTTTTAATGCTATTCTTTGTCCAAAATTGTGAATGATATGATGATGAATTGGAGATTTCCTCGGAATTATTTGAAACCAAGCTGCTATTTCAATTTCTAAACCGCATAGTGCTTTGCCCAAATATTAATTTGAACCTGCAGGTTTGGGCCAAGTGGTTACATACTGGTTGGTCACACTTTAGATAGATAGGAGAATTGAATCTTCTACATTTTTATACCAAACACAATAAAACAAGATTATTTTGTTTTAAATATATATTTTGTACACACTTCTTTATCACAAAGTAAAAATATAGGTTTCATATTAATTATTTTCAGTTAATATTACACAATACAATACGTTGGTAACATAATCTAGTTTGATTAATGTACAGCCGATTTCGATTTGATGTCCCTTTTGGGCGCCAAAAATGATTGAGGTAACGTACATTTAGTTAGTTTTTTTGTCCATATCAATTTTACGAAATGAATCATTGCTTAAAATAAAAATACTTCATTTATCGATACAAAAATAATATATGGAGGGTGCAAGGTGGAAGGAGAGTTGTCTCTTTTTGAAAAAATGTCCTCTGTCATGCAAGAAATTAGAGTGGTGATGCATTAACAAGGGGTGCGACGATGACTCGACTAACCTCATTTAATCATCAATCGCTATTTGCATTTATATCAATTTCTATTTTCATTTGTATCAATTGCTATTTATACCAATTGCTTTTGAAGGATTTTACTTTTGTGTTATTTACTGCATACAACTGGACACTTTTTCTAGTACCCCCCATTTAAGACTATCTACCCTCCATTTTAAGAATAAAGGATCGTTTCTTTATTTATTTGACTCAGCCGTGCGTCAACCATAAGCAATACAATTTCAATAAATAATAAGATATTTATACAAGCAATAAATAAAAGACAATAGACAATATTTCACAAATAATAAAATGCAATATCTAGAATAAATTGCGCAGAACCTTTATCTAAGTACCTACTCCTTATTGCATTTTATTATTTTCTATATAAAGTTATTTTTTGTTATCGTATTTACACCACAGATACAACGCAACGAAGTATTTTTCAAGAATCATGCTGTGCGAAGTAATTTAAGGTATGTTTCACAATCTCTTGTTATAACGACATGTACGTAAATTGCACGAACAATTTATCTGGTATATATATGAAGGTGTTAAAACATACCCATAAATTCAAAATACGTATTATTTTAAATCCAAATACTTTCAAGTGTTAGACAAAATGACACAGCTTTTAAATATTTATTTTCTTATAAAACAAAACACGATATTTACGATTAATATTAATAAAATACAATATCTAGCGTCATTAATAAAAATAATTTATGAGATTTCTTCAATTAGACCTAAGTACAAACAACTTTACATCTTACACAAACTTACTTAAAGTTTTGTTTTCATTGATACAACTGAACATTCTGAGATACAGGTTGTTGTTTTAGTGATATATTTTTTTTTAACGAAAAGTTATAGTTTAGCTTTAAACATTGAAACATGTTTTTTCTGTGTTCCCTATTAATACAAAGAGAATGCATATTAGTATTTCATTAAAATCAGTGGTGGGGCAGGACCTAATTTTAATTGTGGGCAAGACAGATTTGCAAGGCCCTTTTCTATGGCGACCTGAAGACGAAAGATAAAAATTCTAGAGGCGCGAGTTCCCCTGTGCCAAGAGGCTGTAGACGATGGCCCACGTCGCCCACGCCTTACGCCGCCTCTGTATAGAATGCTATGGTCATAAGACGAGGGATGCGTCTATAATTTTTTTACAACGTTACAATATCTTTCCTTTTCTTTCTAAAAAAAACGTTGCCCCACACTAGGATTTTCTCCTGTGTCGTGGGTGCGGTTACAAACATACAGTTTCACATGCGCATGGCACCCAGACCCGGAACAACAATTTGTGGGTCACACAAAGAGTTGTTCCGTGCGGGAATCGAACCCGCGACACGTTGCCCAGCCACCGCACCAACAGTTCAGTCAATATCCTAGTAAATAATTCTTTTGAACATTATTTAACCCTATCTATTAATAATGAAAATATATTGCAAACATTCCCATACGCATCAAGTAAAACAACAGTCGTATTTAGTTGAACCTTGTAAAAAAATCTTTAGGTGATTGGGTTGATAAAATAATTTTTAAGATTTTGTTTTGTAGAGGGCGCTTTTGTAGCCTAAAACCTATATAACGAACTGCACTGAATTCAGGCAACGGTTGACCTGAATCTACAGTCAGTATAAAAGACTTTCTGGATCTGGATGATTCAAATAGCTTTAGAAATAGGCCTATAGATAGACAGGTATATATTAAGTCACTTATCATGTGTCTTTAAAAACTATTCATCATCAGTCATTAATTATAAGTGGTCACTATTGAGCATATGTCTTAAATTAGGAATTAAATTACCACTTTACCAAGATTTTCAAGATTACTTTCTTACTCTTTATTTCCTTCACTGTTAGTGGTATCTAAATAATCTTAACACATACACATATCATGGTAAGGAAAAAATCTGATTTGTACTTGCTAGATATCTTTCTCATGCATCAGAAGCTGTCGCCTTAACCAGGCCTGTATCACTATAAATGCCATCTATTATTCAAAACTGAAATGAAAACTTCGACTTATCATCCCAACCACCCATTTACTAAACATTGAGGTAGTTATAGCGACGAAGACTAAACGTTACGTCCCTTCACATTTAACATCCCCGTTCATAGTTTGATCAATTTTCTGAATAGCTGTATCTAGTATATTTAAGACCTCTTTATTTTCCTGTACGACTAACTTGTAATGATCGGACGAAGGTACAGGGGCGTTCGGTTTTGCGTGATCCCTTTTAAAATGTCGGCTCAAATGACTAGTTTGGGTGAATTTCCTGTCGCATATTTTACATTGGTACTTCTTTTCGCCTGTGTGCACTACTTTATGTTGTTTTAAAGCTGACGATGTGTAGAACGTTTTGCCGCACTCACAGTGATAGTCCCTCTGCCCTTTATGCCTTTTCAGATGGACGTTGTAAGCGCTGCATGTAACGAAACCTCGTTGACATTCTTTGCAGTTGTACCTGTAGGGGAAGAAAATTATACTTTTACACAAATAATGATGGTTACAACTTAGCGTAAGCGTGGAAGCCATGCATTATATTACAGCGTTGTATTTCGCCATGCTAGTGAGTTACCGGAGGCCCATATTTCTCCCCTTCCCTAATTCCTTAATCTCTGAAACCTTAATTTCCAAAAGATCAGAAACGCACTTGTAACTCTTCTCGAGTGCGGGTGTCAATGGGCGGCGCTGATTGCTTACTATCAGGTACCGTATGCTTTCCGTCAGTAAGAGTTTGTCACTCACTCCGGCCCAAACCTGGGTTTTTGTGTAAGAAAAGTCATTTAATGATTTTTCCCACACAAAAAACACACAAAAACTTACATCTCTCAAATAAAAAACGCGCAAGTGGCGAAGTTTTCTATGTGTTCGCCATTTGAATGAGGTTTTGAAGGCCCAATAACCCATAAAAACTATTTCTATTCAAAATAGAGATATATAATTCACTTACCTAACTTCCTTGTTATGTATCCGAACATGTATGGACAAGTTGCCTGAAGTCGCGAAGGTTTTGGTGCACAGGTGACAAGAGTACGGCTTCTCACCGTTGTGGATACGTTGATGGACCTTCAGTTCTGCTTTTATGGGAAATCCTGGCGAAACGATGGGGATAGTAAAAATACAGTAAAATAATTATTAAACTCGAATAAAGCTGAAAAATAATGAGACGTTACACTAAAAAATCGCTTGATTGTACAACATTGTATTCTGAATTAATATAAATGTGAAAGTTTGTGTGAATGTTTGGATGTATCTATGTATGTTATTCTTTCACACAAAAAAACGGCTGGACCGATTTGGTTGAAATTTAGATTTTGGTATGTAGATAGTTAATACCCTGGATGAATACATTTGCACGCGGGCGAAGACGTGGGCAAAAGCTAGTTTAATCAAAGAAATGTTTGTAAGCGCATAACTTCCTAACCAGCAGACCGAATTTTTCGGATTAAGTATTTGTAGTAGTTAAGACAAAATTTTAATAAAAATAAAAATGACAGATTCACATAAGTATCAACATTATAAAAGCACAAAATATAGGGTGGGTTGCTAGTTGCTACTAGGTACTACTAATATAAATATTTTTTTTTTATAATAAACTGACCTTTTCCACAGACTTGGCACAAGTAGGGTTTGTCTCCTTTATGTCTCTTCATATGTATGGAGAGCTGGGCGCTCTGCACGAACGTTTTGAAACATATATCACAGCTGTATAACTTCTCTCCTAAAAACATTCAAAAATAAAATAATTCTCATCCAAATATTTGCATTATCAATAATAATATAATTGGTGCTTTATTCTATATTCATTTTCTTTATTTTTAGAAAACGTTGACCGGGTGCGTTTACAAACATACAATTTCACATTCACATGACACCCAGACTCGAAACAACAATTAGTGGATCACACAAAGTGTTGTGCGGGAATCGAACCCGCGACACGCGACACGGCAGCCAGTTGCCCAGCCACCGCGCCAACCGTGCAGTCGGTCTTGAATGACACGTGTATTTGAAATTGAAAAATTGATGCTAGCTAAAAATTGTAGCTATCGCATAACTCAAAGTACAAGCTTAAATTACACCGAGACGTCTTATTCGTTTTACAGTTGTCGCCATCTTCCTTTTTCCCCTCTATCCTTCCTCTCTCTCACACACATACGTCGTCTCGCTCATGTGTCACTCATGCTCATATTCTAGAATCCTACAACTCGGTCTCTGATTTTAAGAGATTAAAATAATCTTACCTTTGTGCATCCGTATGTGGTTAACCAGCCCAGTACGTCTGCTAAACTGTTTGGGGCAAAACTCGCAATGATATGGAGTCTCGCCCGTATGTATCTTTTTATGTTGGAACAATGCGCTGTGCCCTCTGCAAAAAGACATACAAGCACTACAAAAAATCCTTTGGGGAATGCAGTTTCTTTGTGTAGTGACTGACGATGTCTCCATTCTTATATTGACATTGATCTTATAGCTTATTCCTCCTCATTTTTTCTACCATTTGACATTTGAAAAAAGGATCTTAGCCAAGTTTTTATAATAACTATCGTGAGACATACTAAATTAACTAAAAATCGCGGGTTACTCACGTGTGTATATTGAGAAAAGCTCTACTAGTTTCGAACCACAGAGGGGTTCTTCCTCATGAGCAGCGTGCGCGGACGCGGCGACGTCGCGCAGCCTACTGTAGGCTGTAAGAACCCCTCTGTGGTTCGAAACTAGTAGAGCTTTTCTCAATATACACACGTGAGTAACCTGCGTTTTTTAGTTAATCATAGCCAACATTAAAAAATACGTGCTAGCCACCAGCTGCGACACTTAATCATTATAAGTGATCAGCACAGCACCAGAAGAGTTTGAAAATCCTTGGAGTATTGGAGAGAGGAGAGGTCATAAGAGACCATAATCATCAGAGTCAGATTATCAGAGGTCATAATCATTCATTCTTTCGGAAGTAGAAAACTTCTACGGCCGGTTATACGCTTCGCATGCATCTCGACCTGACCCCGGAAATGAGGACTCTAGAGCCACTTTAATACGCCATTACACCGAAGACCTGCCAGAAGTCAGCATTGACGAAATCGAGATCGCTCTTGGACAGCTTAAAAATGGAAAAGCCCCTGGAGAGGATGGCGTTACGACAGAGCTTCTAAAAGCAGGCAGCAAACCGGTACTCAGGGAGCTGCAAAAGCTATTTAACGCTGTCCTGTTTGAAGGGAGAACTCCAGAGGCGTGGAGTCGGAGTGTGGTCGTCTTATTCTTCAAAAAGGGTGACAAAACCCTACTGAAGAATTATCGACCCATTTCCCTTTTAAGCCACGTCTATAAGCTGTTCTCGAGAGTGATCACGAACCGCCTTGCGCGAAGACTTGACGAATTCCAACCACCGGAGCAGGCTGGGTTTCGGAGCGGATACGGCACCATAGACCACATCCACACAGTGCGGCAGATTATACAGAAGACTGAGGAGTATAATCAGCCCCTGTGCCTAGCATTTGTGGACTATGAGAAAGCCTTTGACTCGGTCGAAATCTGGGCTGTTCTGGAGTCCCTGCAGCGATGCCAAGTAGATTGGCGATACATCCAAGTGATGAGATGTCTCTACGAGGCCGCCACCATGTCCGTCCAAGTACAGGATCAGCAAACAAGGCCGATACCGTTGCATCGAGGTGTGAGACAAGGGGATGTTATCTCCCCGAAATTGTTCACAAATGCAATGGAGGATATGTTCAAGACGCTGAACTGGAAAGGACGCGGCATCAACATAAATGGCGAGTACATCTCTCACTTGCGATTTGCAGACGACATCGTCATCGTAGCAGAAACGCTGCAGGACCTACAACGGATGCTGAATGACCTGGCTGACTCTTCTATACGCATCGGCCTACGGATGAACTTGGATAAAACCAAGGTCATGCTCAATGAACATGTACTACCGGAACCGATTGCAGTACACGGCGCTGTTCTCGAAGTCGTTCAAAAATATGTATACCTCGGGCAGACATTGCAGATGGGTAGAAACAACTTCGAGAACGAGGTGAATAGAAGAATTCAGCTAGGTTGGGCAGCATATGGAAAGCTGCGTCAAGTCTTCACGTCGTCGATCCCACAGTGCCTAAAGACGAAAGTCTTCAATCAGTGCGTCCTACCTGTCATGACATACGGAGCCGAAACGTGGACACTGACGGTGCGGCTGGTTCACAAGCTAAAAGTCACTCAGCGAGCTATGGAGAGGGCTATGCTCGGCGTTTCTCTGCGAGATCGAATCAGAAACGAGGTGATCCGGCAGAGAACCAAGGTAATCGACATAGCCCACCGGATTAGCAAGCTGAAATGGCAGTGGGCTGGCCATATTAGCCGAAGAACCGATGACCGTTGGAGTAGACGAGTTCTTGAGTGGAGACCGCGTCTCGGCAAACGTAATGTAGGACGTCCTCAGGCAAGGTGGAGTGATGATTTGCGCAAGATGGCTGGCAGGAGCTGGATGCGAGTGGCCGAAGATCGATCCCAGTGGCGTGCAATAGGAGAGGCCTATGTCCAGCAGTGGACTGAAAAGGGCTGATGATGATGATGATGATGATGATGATGAGGTCATAAGTCTTCGACTACTTGACTCCGCATCAAAAGACAACGCAAGTGCTGTTTCACCATTATACAGTTACGTTCTAGTGACACAAGTTTGTCACCATTAAATTATTTTATGTAGCTCAAAGTCAAACAAAATATGGCAGAATAACATATCAATTTGTAATATGGTAAATGAGGCAGAATAGGTGAGGGGAAAATCATCAATGACTTCTCCCGCCCAGGGCCGGGCAGGAGGGAGTGTCAGACTCTTACTGACTAAAAACCCCCCTGTTCCTTCTCCTGCTCTGTGCCGAGGTCGCGGTACCTTATTGCGCTTACCCCGCAACCCCGGCTGAACATCAGCCCTTTAGGGCCCCGTCTGTGGTGGTCTATTGGCTCTTTGAGGCGCGCGCGGAACGCTACGCGCCGTACGCTCGGGCCTGGTTCTGGTCGGGCGGCGAGCTGCCCTTACTCGCCGACCGCAGGCCCGTACTTACGGTGGCCGGAGATCGTCCCTCGATCCCCGACGCCCGTAGTGTATGTGTAGAGGATAGGTAACATATCAATTTATACAAAAGCTTTCAATTAGCTACTTACCTAAATGTAGCTGGACAATCGGAACATAAGAATGGTCTAAGATCAGTGTGACACAGCTTGTGTGCCTTTAGATTACTCTTTGTACTGAGGACTTTGCCACAAATGTCACATTGATGCGGCAGCTTGCTTTCAGGAAGAGGCGGGACTTCGCCTTCAAGGTATACTGCAATAGTAAGTTTATAACGATTACGCCTGATTTAATATTGGCTGCAACTTCCTATATTTTTTTATGAGGCAAAATTAACTAGTAATTTATGCTGATTGACTTCTGGGTGTGGGGTAGGATTGTCAGTCTGTCTCTACAAAAACATCCAGGTTTCATTAACTTTAAGTATGGAAGAGCCATGCTTCTGTACGAATGGGTCGGCTCGACTGGAGTGATACCACGGCCTTACAGAAAACCGGCGTGAAATAATCACAGCTTTGTGTTTCGCCGTGTTAGTGAGGCTCCAAATTTTTAATCTCTGAAAGGTCGGCAATGTACTCGGAAATCCTCTGTTATTGTGGGTGTCCATGGCTGGCGATAATTGCTTACCATCAAGTAATAAAATAAATTAACAGCACGCGACATGACACATAAACCGACTTTGTCCTAAAGTGTATGTATATATATATCCGCCTTATTATTGAAGGGCCAAAGAAGATTATTGCGCTTTGAATTATTAATTAAAATTTATGGATCTGTGTGCAAGCTAAAGTTGTTGTCTGCGTGTTGCCATTTTTAAAAAGACTGAACTTAAAATTGCCTCAATTATTGCTATTGTTTATTTTTGATACTTCGATTTTTTTATAATGATTAAAAAATAATGATAAAGCATACCTCTTTTCTTTCTGCCTCTTTTCTTTTTTGGTTTTATTTCTATATTTTCAAGTTCTGGAAAGAGTTTATTTTTAATTTATTTATGTTTATTATAATTACTAATTAATTTTTTTATTTTAATTATAAACTAGCTGTGCCACATAGTTTCACCCATATAGTTCTAGTTACAGTGAAAAATGATTTCTAATTGGGCTAGAAGTCTCTTAGCCTATCATATAATATTAAATGTTTTTAAGAAAATAAGAATATTAATTAAATAGGTACCCGCTTTTTTAATTTTGATTTCTTCCAACATAATGTTATCATCATCGGCATCCCAGGTGCTGTCATTGTCATCATTATTTAATAAAGGTTCTGAAACAAACAGAAATTGTCACAATAATGCTGTCTTTGAAATTACTTCATATCAGAGTACCTATACAATTATATAGTAATATATTCATTACATATAATAGAATGGCAATTATATAGAAAGAGTAACAATAGTAAAATACAATAATAATATATATTTTTTAAATTCTTGTTGTTTCTTTTTTTGTCTATGGGCTGGAGTTTAGTCCTAGCTCATACTGCCTATAATGTAGTCTTAATTGAAATTGAAAAGAAATTTAAGTTGTAACAAATGTATAGCAATGGGTGTTTTATTTCATAAGAGGAGATGGAACATACTAGTATAAACAATACTTTTGTTGATTTAATAAAAATAAAATTAACATGTATTACCCAATTTAATATTTTTAATGTCTCCAGTGGTTTCGTCTAGTGTCAGCAGATCCAGGTTCGCTCCGATACCATTCTCGCACTTTATATCTTCGAAATTGAGTTCATCTTTGACCAAACCATTTGAAACAGCATTTCCCTTTATTTCTGCTAGTATGAATTTTAACCTTTTGTCACTCTCGTCGCATTGTAGATTAAATGTGTAAGCACGTTTGAGCTGCCGACTACAATCATTGCAGATCAAATGGGGCAAACCGTCCTCCACTTGTGGCTGGAAATAAACATTCAAAGGGATGTTTTTATTTTAAATCTCATTAAAAATTCAAATAAGATTGGGTTGATAGATAAATACCTTTATTTTAGTACATTTCGCTAGCATATCACTGTATGTTATTTTCCGTTTCTCATTAAAACTGGTGTACATATCAAAACTAATTTTATCCGATTCAAGACAAATTCGACACATTTTTGCTATGTCTAACGCCATGGTACAGTTTTAGCATGTAAACTGGCACTAAATGAGAAATTGTTATTGTTGAGTATTTAGTGAATGAGATAAAAATACAACAACATTTTGTAATGATTAGATTATTTATAATCCAATCTGCAGCCGTCCCTCGTCGATTCTGTGATACAAACAAACGTAATGTCAATGTCAAAATGCAAAGTGACAGTGTAATTTACTGTCAGTTACGTTTCGTTAATATTAGAGGATTGTAAAGTAGGGTCTGTATTTAAGTCTATCTTAACGTCGATTCTGTATAAGATTGTAATGAAATAGAAAATAGAAAGGGACAAACAAAGAATCGGGACATTAAAGAAAAATTAACTGATAGGTTTTTCATCTATAAAGCAATTTATTGAAATAAGATTTTTAGGTAATAAATAATATTTCTAATTACAGCATAAAAATTAATGGAGTGTTTGATATAACAATGTTAATAATTAACATTAAAAGGTAAATGTAGGTGAATAAGATTGCCTTAATTGCCAATAATTAAAAAAAAAATATTTGATATACCTACAACATAGTGACCCATAAAATGGCGCCAAACCGTTTTTAAATAAACTAGCACTTGAGAATAACAGTTCCAAAATAAATTAGATAAATGCACTACAATCATAGTAGGACATTCATGTTTTCTACATAATCTAATATGAGTATAAATAATACATTTTTAAAAACAGCCTTTGTTTTGATACCATGACCACAGAAACCATGTCTCACAACAATATAAGTAGGCCTACCGAACCTACCCAATAAAATACAAAAGCAGTAACTAGTACATAATATCTTCTATAGTAAGTAATTCATTTCTTTAACCTCTTGTCTACCACTGAGGCCCAATATATATCTTCCAAATAGTCAAAAGTATAAGGATACATTGCCTCTCACTTAGATCAACATTTTGGCAAACACTAGTTTGAGCAGTATTAGTTGTTACTGCTTTTTACCTTCTAGAATTTTCTATCTTTTAAAAAACCCTTACAACTCATATACTTGATGCATTACAACACCCATAGATTCTCATTATATCACATGATCTCACTTATGCATGTACATACCTTCATAGAGTCCTTAACAAACTGTCTTTTTATAATAACAATTTTTACATATCATATTTGGAGTTAAATAAATTATTACAGACAAACATTGATATCTAAACTTAACATAACAAAGTTTCACTATAACATATTGCACTTATAACTATCAATAATATGGGAAGTGGTTAAACTTATTTTCACATAAAAAACATGAGAATATGCTTGTTAACTATGACACCAAGCTGTTTATTTGAATAAGAGTACTGTAAGGTTTTCATGGATCCTTCCGGGATCCAGAATCCCATCACCTCAAAAATATTATTCCTTGTTCAGTTGAAGCTTTCCCCAGCTTCTTCTGCCACAAATCATCTGACTGTGAGCAACCAATGAAAGTTTTTCTCAGTCTCTTCACATTCCAAATTGAATTCATATGCATCTATAAGATGTGCAATACAATTGCGGCACAGATATGGAGGCAAGCCATCTTTCATGTGAACCTGAAATAATTACCAAGCTTTATATTAAAAAAATCTTATACCATAGCTAATAATGTACAAAACATATTTTTTTTTTAATTTTAATAATAACAAATTTAAAAGACCTGTTTTCTAATGTACTTGGAAAACACTATGCCAATCCTAATTAGTTCGAAATTAGGGCAGAATGCAGACTTGTAGGCTTATAGTAAGATTTTTTCATGTGTCGTATGTATAACTTACCATCACTTTACTACAATATGCCAACATATCACAATATAAAGTATCTCTGTCTTCATAATAACTTTTGAACATGTCTAGCGCTCTTGGATCTATGCGCAAGCAAATGCGACATATTTTTCTATCCTCTGACCATATATTTTGATCTGCTGCCATCATTTAGGGTAACTTTTGTGATGCAATTAATTTAATTCTCAAAAACAAACAATCTGTTGATGAATGCAAATAAGTTTATTTATTTAAAATTTTCGCGCAAAACAAGTATAAATGGATATTTATAGGGAAAATTAAAAACACTGAGAGGCAGAAGACTAGCACTAACACAATATTGGTCTTATAGTTATAGTTTTGGTAAATCAACAAAATATTTGATTATATTGACAATTTTACTGTGGCCGGTGGCAATGTCATCAACATCGATCAATTTTGTTATCTCACTGATAACGAAACGGTGGTAATTGATTTTACTCGGTAGCAATCCTTGACCACGAGTTAAAAAAATACAATATTTTATATTTTTATTAATATTATGTATATTTAATAATTGGGTTATATTACATATCGGTTACAATGATGTACAAGAAATAGTAGATTTTTACGGTTATTAGTTATCTGTGGTAAATCAGGAGACTCTAAGGACGATTTTTAAAATGTCGGTAAAGTCGGAGGAGAACCGGGTCAAGTTGTGGTGATATGCTATCAGTTTACAAACAAAAACTAGAGTGTTCCTTTGTATGGGAATATTAAATAATTGTATAAATTAATAAGGTTTCGAAGCTTATAAAATAAATATGTCTGCGCTTCAGAAGACTATAATGAAAAATAAATTACCGCCAAGGGTTCCCAGAACTTCTGGTGTTTCCAAGTAAGTCAGGAAACTTTTTTATTTTTTATAAAAATATTGTATATGTATAGGTACTTGTTTGTTTACCCTTTGATTCGCATTATAAAGGAGGCTTTACTTTAAGAACAAAATCTTTTTGATGTAATTGAAAAAAAAGTGATGTAAAGTGCGTTGTTGATATCGCATGAAAATAATCAAGATTGTTAATAAAAATCAGTGTTAGTGATGATAAAACAGATTTATGATCTAGCAGATCTATAATTTGTATTTAAATCAGTTAAAATAATCCAATACTTATTGATACCAACTTACGACAATGATGAAATTACTCTTTGCTATATTTTAACATTACATCTTTTAGGATGGCACCATTCGGAGCTGGTCGCCGTAAGGACTATACGCCAGTATCATGGAAGCAGTATTTCCATCAGAGTGTTGATGTTGAGATAAATGCTGGTACCTTCAGAGTGTACCTGTCTCCGGAACCTGACCATCCAGACAGGCCAAGGATAGTGACCCTTCATGGAGGCGGATATTCAGGACTTAGCTGGTCTTTGTTCACGGTAAGTGTATTAAAAACTTAAATACTATTCATTGCATATTTATTTAACAAAATATTGGTTCTTATTAGAATCTTAAGTGTATCTTAGATTGACTTATCTGGCTTATGATTCACATAAAAGTTTCTATAATTGTGTTAGTTTCAAAGTTTTCATCAAATGTCTGTAAATAATTTCTAGGAAGAGATCACAAGTATGATCCACTGCCAAGTAGTGTCGATCGACATCAGAGGACATGGGGAGACTAAAGTGGAGAACTGTGATGACCTGAGCATTGAAACACTTGTATAGTAAGTTGGTTAAAATATTTACTACATCTAAGTCTACATACAACATTCATAGTCTACATCTAAGTGCAAATATCAATTACAATAACTAAATAAAAGTCGCTGGGAGTCTTTGGATGCAGGTCACTTCTAACTTGCCAATATGGAAGTCATTAGAAAGGCATGAATCACTACCACTATATAGTGTAAAACCAAATCGCTTTCTTTGTCCCTATATCCCTATGTATGTGTAAGTCTTTAAAACTGTGCAATGTACTTTGATTGCTGTTTTTTTTTTAATAGATAGAGTGACTGAAGGAGGATGTTTGTATCTGTGACTATAGAGTGACAGCTATTAAATAATGGAGTAATTTGTTACCAGCATTGCTACTGTGCCATTCACATATAATATTATGCCTTTGGGTCTTGTTCTCATATGTAACAGTTGATTGAATCAACTAACTAAGGGTTAATTGTGTTGATTTAAAGAATTAAATTGATTGTGCTAAAGGAAATCAAGTAGTAGGACAGTTAATAAAATTATTGATGCATTTCATATATGGATACACTGGACCATATATGAAATGTGATCCAGTGTGAGTTTTCCCAGACAACAATGAACTTGTGGTGCGCTGTAAGTGCACAATTGTCGTCCTGGGCTGTACTTATCCAAAATTCTTGTTATAACTATTCAATATTGTAAAAAAAACTTCCAGAAGTCAAAATAAATGAAAACAAAAAGATGTTTATGAACTTATATTCTGTAGGTACTTATTTTTGAAACTTTTATTTATGTTATTTATATACTGATTTATTTATGTTATTTTTTGTCCACCAGTGACATAGAACAAGTACTCCATAAGTTGTTCACTGATGGTATCCCACCGCTGGTGTTAGTGGGCCACTCTATGGGTGGTGCGGTAGCTGTCAGGGTCTCATTGCAGCCATCATTGGAGCACTGCATACAGGGCATTGCTGTTATAGATGTTGTTGAAGGTAAGTTATTAATTTCTAACGGTGCACCTTCAATTAATGGGTACATACATTGCGAAACATTAGATTTGTTTCCCTCCTCTTATATTCTATTTACCTTGCAATTATATATTACTATTTGATAAATAAACTTACTTTTATTTCATCAACCCAAATTTTTATTCTTGTATTTATTAACTAAGTAAACAATGTATATTCAGTGATTTATTGTGTACTTGACAATTAGTTGTTCAATGCTTTTTTCGAATCCCGAAATCGATTGTTTTCTAGGGATATGTGTTTGGGATTATGTGTTGTTAGATGTTGTTTGGCGTCAAACGAAATAGTTATTTGTTGAAGTGTTAAACATTTCATAGAATTCATCATCGTAATCAACAACATCATCATCATAATCAATGTTTCTGCTGGACATAATTCTCTTGAATTACATGCCACTAAGCTTGATGTTCACCTCTACTGCAAACACCTAAAGATTTAAGAGATTACAATTAATATTGATATAGTATATGGTTATTTATTATAATGCGTAACCTTTCCACCAGAAGTTATTTGGGTGAAGACAATATACATTTATATTATATTTATAAATTACTTTTCCAGGCACAGCAATGGATGCTTTAGCCAGTATGCAGAGCTTCTTACGAAGTAGACCTACACATTTCAAGAGTATTGAACACGCTATAGAGTGGTGGTAAGTTATTAATAATTATTTATGATGATGATTATTTAGACACCACTGACATACGGTGAAGGTAAACGTCGAGAGGAAACCTGGACTTATAATTCCTAATTATAAGTTTGAAATCGGCAACCCGCATTGAGCAAGCGTGGTGATTAATGCTCTAACCTTCTCCTTAAGAAGAGGCCTTTGCTCAGCAGTGGGCACTTATAGGCTGATGATGATGATTTCTCCTCCTCCCAATCTCTTGTTATTGGTTGTTGCCAATGTCCATTCATAGGCTGCCCTGATTGCTTACCATTAGGCGACATGTCAAAATAATATACAAATTAAAACCACATTTCACATTTTTTCGTTACATGTTATCACTTAGCAGAAAGTTAATCTTACTTTTCGCTACACAAGGACGAGTAATGTTTTAATCTTCAAATCATTATGTAAATTGATTTAAGCAAAAGTCAAATGCTTTAAGCAAAATAAATAAATTATTTATTTATCTTCTGTTTTCAGTGTGCGAAGTGGTCAAGTTCGGAATGTGGATTCAGCGAGGGTCTCAATGCCCAGTCAAATTATTAAGTGAGTATACCTATTTACTATATTTCTTAAGTATCGTCTTATGACATAATTACTGTATAGTTTTGTCTGTGTTATGCCATAATCTTATCCCTAACAAGCCCTAAGACAAGGGCGGTCAAACAATTGTGTGTTCTGAGTCCTGTGGTGTTGCGAGTGGATACTCGTCACAATCATCACCGCCCATATCCATGGGCATGCATGGATTGTCTACCATCGGTTGATCTTTCTGCAATTTTAACACAGAAATTTATCTTAAAAATATGCCGTTAAACCTGAATTAGACGGCATATCTAGCTCTTATTTCACAACCTTCCAAATATACTTTCTATGTTTTTATAAATAAAAATATCCCTAAAGTGTTAAGTCTTGTTCGACTGCACAAAGGTGGATCAATTCACCTAAGAAAAGTTTGTTTTTTACAAAACACTAGCTACTCTCGCGCGGTTTCACCCGCTGCTCGGCTCCATTTCATCATAGCGTTATGTTTTATAGCCTATAGCACTCGGGAACATTGTAGCTATCCATCAGTGAAAGAATTTTGGCAATCCGACCAGCGGTTCCAAAGATTATCCCGTACATACAAACTTACAAATTTTACCTCTTTATAATATTAGTATAGATTTACAATTGAAATTTATTATTATTTATTGAAAAAATACATTCATATCCTATTAATAAAACAATACTTTTTTGACTTGACTTTCAGTAATAAAACCTTTTTCTTTTGTGTAATAATAAAATAAATAATTTTTTAAAGCTGCGAGACGGGGAAATTGGCTATCAACGAAGTGGAGAGCTATACATCAGTGTCCGACGAGTCACTCCCAGCTCCTACAAGGCATGCGCCCCTAGCTGACCGGATTGCTGAAGAGTCTGATGGTGAAGCTGATGGGGAATCCGAGACCTGCCCCGAGGACACTGTTGAACACTTTGTGAAGCCTTCAGCGGTGGGAGACGGAAACTCGAGTATGAAGTAAGTTATTTTGGTATTATGTGGAACTAAATACGTTTCACTTTATTAATATTTTAATTTAAGGCAGATTTTTCAATAGTCAGATAAATGTTATCTCAAGAATAAAATTGTTGCTGTCACTGTCTTATACACTGCATTCTGACGCGACAGCATCTTAATTAATCCCCAGATAATTTTTATCTAACCATTGAAAAATCAGCCCTATATTTCTAGGTTAATTCATTAATTTTTAGACATTGAAATTTGCTGAAGCAACATACTAAATGTGTCAATAAAGTAAGCAATCGGCGACGCAGGAGTTACTACGAGTGCTTTGCTGGCTTTTTGGGGATTAGGTTTTTGGAGATTAAGATAATGGGAGGGGGAAAAAGGATAGGTTCTCCGGCAACCTCACTCACACGGCGAAACACAACGCTGTGGTTCTTTCACGCCGGTTTTTTGTGAGGCCGTGGTATCACTCCGGTCGAGCCGACCCTTTCGTGCCGAAGCTTGGCTCTTCCACACTTAAATGTTATGAGATACTATAGTTATAAAATGGACATGGAACTTCCTCCACAGATACAAGTGGCGCATAGAGTTGTCCCGCACGGAGCGTCACTGGGCGGGCTGGTTCCGCGGGCTGTCGGCCGCCTTCCTCAGTGTACGCGCGCCCCGCCTGTTGCTGCTTGCCTCCATCGACGGACTGGATCGCGAGCTCACCGTGGGACAGATGCAAGGTACATAATTATTTTGATTGTTTTTTATATTTTCTAGGGCAAAGTTCTTATTTTGTGTTAAAAAAATGTTGTTCTGCAAAAATGAGCGGGGGATTTCATCTCGACTTTTTGGGACGGGGGAGTGGGCAATCGGGATTAACAAATTGTTATGAGTTACTTAATTTAAATAAAGGCTCCATTTTTAGAAAAGGAGGTTACCATAGTACAAACGCTTTTCAAAAGATTTGAAAAGTGTTTTTTAAATACTTGGGAAGAAAAACGATTAGTTTAAAAAGTCGTTTTATTTTCAGGTAAATTCCAAATGCAAGTACTGACCAGATGTGGACATGCGGTACACGAAGATACGCCCGGAGAGGTCAGTAACAACTTTTTTATAATATGTAATTTTGATCTCATACACTTACACCCGGTTTCTGAAAGGCTTGTCAACGCTAAAATTAACTAATCTCCTGTTAAATCTCTTGTCAAGTCATCTGATTGGTTGTTGATAATTCAGTCAACCAATCAGATGAATTTGTTAACTATAGGTACATATTGTGGTTACAATGTATTAGCATAGGCAAAGTCAATGGAATGGACTATATTATGACAAAATGTACTTCCTTTTACATACTCTAAAATAGGTTCATTCATCCATATGGATGCTTTTAATTTGTAAAATATATTAAACTAGCGACCCGTCCCGGCTTCGCACGGATGCAAAACTGACTAAATTTCTCCTGTATTAAATGAATGTTGTTATACATATAAACTTTCCTCTTCAAACACTCTATCAATATCACAGTCGAACTGTCTGACACTGTTTCGCCCCACACTGGGCGGGAGAAGTAATTGATGATTTTCGAAATAAAAGATCGGATTCGGACAGGGGCGGAGCGTAAATCAGACTCATTATGATTGTATTTTACTTTTGAAATACCTTAAAATTGTTATATCCGTAACCGAAATTATCCGAAAGTATCGGATAATCCGAAATAGTTTCATGTCTTTATCCAGTAAAATAATAATTATACATCATGTGTTAATGTTCATTCAGTATCAAAATATGTTACTGCTAGCGCCATCTAGTTTCATGTATGTCAGAAGAATAAAAAAAAAAAACACAGAAATAAGTCTGCTATTGAAAATTGAATATTATTATGCTTTATTTAAGATTATGTAGTGATTTTGTACTTCTCCGTCAGGTGGCGCGCGTGGTGGCAGCGTTTGCCCTCCGTCACCGCTTGACGTGCCCTACGGAGCTGGGCGCCGACATGCAACTCCTCCATACTGTTCCCGGCTGCTGAATTATTTCTACCTTATACTCTACTTATTGTAAGTCTACTAAACGTCTGTTGAGTCTGAGTGCCAGTTTGTCTTTGCGTTAAGTCGATCTACCCGTTTATATTTTTTTTTGTTTAGAACTTTAGACAGTCAATAGTCGTTTCATTAATTCGTTTTAACTTGTGTGTCACAGCATACGTTATATATTAACATCGGTTTTTTAATACAAAGGTAAGTTTAATCAGCAATTATCTAAAAAAAAAACAAATAAAAAAGAAAGAAAAATTTATGACTACTGACTATTTATGACGTTCCGCGCCCTGATTGGCTGGCTCCAAGTTAACCGGCCAATCACAGGGCTGAACGTGGTAACGTTCGTTAACGTAAAAATAACTCGCACTTAGCACTCTATTATTATTACACTGTACTGTAAACATGTTTATTGAGCCCTTAGTTTCTGAAATATGTAAGATTTAAAATTTGGAATCCATATTACCTAACTTTTAACGAACAATTCTTATATAAAACAATGAATTTATTTTTGTAAATAGGCCATAAACTTTGACACGTCAAAATTATATGTAAAAAACTAGATGAAGCCCGCGTTTCCTGTCTGACTACTCTGAGAAGAAATGCCGAAACAAACTCAGAGGTCCGTCTCTTTTATATTTTTTCTTATACCTAACATGTAAAAGAGTAAATTAAAACTTTTAGGTACATTTTTTTATACTAGATTCTGATCTATGAAACTTTTTTTAACAATTTCGATGAAATGTAAAAGGTTTTTGGGATGAAAAGTCAATCGAGATAGATTGCATTTGCATTTTTAGAAAAAAAACACGAGTAATAGCCGATTGTAGTAGTTCAGAAATGTAATGGAAATAGGATCCCTAGGACGGTCTAACTTTGCTTTTCTAAATGCGACCGAGTTATATAAGTATATGTAAAATATGATACAACGATAAAATTTGAGGCCGAGAAATAAAATGGATTGTTGTTAAATTTCAACAAGTCCACGGGAATGAAACACCGGGACGATATGTCATTAAAATCACGGAAATGTAATATATAAAATTGAATCGCATAATGTTAGTAAGTCAACAACACCTGTACCAATTTTACCAATCCTTTTATTCAAAAAAAGCTATACGAACCTTTCTAAGAAAATTTTTCGGAAAGTAGAATGAATAATCGAGAAATGACATTTATTTCGAAATGAAATGCCGTGACACTTCTCTTAATAAACAAATAACTGAGGAGCAGATACGGGTCGTTAGTAGATTTATTATCATCTTCCTGCCCTTGTCCCGTTTTATTTGGGGTCGGCGCAATATGTTTTTTCTTCCATTCTGTCCTATCACTCGTCACGCTATCACTAACTCCTCTGTCTTCCATATCACTTCTCACACAATCCATCCATATTTTCTTTGGTCTCCCTCTCCCTCTCCATGCATCCACATTTATACTCATGGTCGTTAGTAGATTATAATATAAAAATCCATACCACTTTTTGTTGTAATGTTATAACTCAACAATGCCTTTATATTTATATTTTCAGAAATTAAGGGTCAATATAAAGAGAGATTTCATTATTATTGTATGTTAAGTTTACTGGTAGTAGGTGTCACACTGATTATAGGTGGGTGATTTTTCACGTCAGTTCAACGAAGATTTTAATTATTATGTTATAAAGAATGTTGCTAAAAATAAGTCAATTTAAAAACAGCATATGATTTTAATAAATGAACTAAGTATGTATACCACTGCTCTCTAGTGACTCAATAAAACTTGAAAGAAGTCTGAACAATAATAATTTTGTTTAACAAATTTGGTAGATTGAGTGTTTGACGAAACTTTCTAGTAAAAATCATTGAAATTACTGAACCGATTTTAATTAAACTTGGCACTCAAATGAAACAACAACATGTCAAGGCCTTAAAACTTAATCCAGTATATTTTCAAAATATTCATTAATTGAGCAGTTAGTATGTCAGGAAATGTATAATTGTCTTCCAGGATGTACCTTAAGTTTATAAACAATGATATTATTGCGTATATGTAACAAGTTTCACCTTAAACTGTTCAGTATTTTTCATGATTTTTGTCATTAAAGGTTAAACCTATGTGGCGTAAACGCTCTTCAACCTTTTCGAAGAATCACCCACGGAATAATGGCAAACAAATGTTACAATAGTTTTATAGAGAATTCTATTAATTAATATTATAATGTAAGGTTGTGTTTGATCTTCCAATGGAGCAATAATTAATGGAGATTGCATAATTATTTATAATCATTTTTACTTTTTAATATTAGCTGTAAAATATATGTAAGTTTGATCCTAAGTTTTCAAAAAACTTGTTATAGGAATGAATTCCTTATCAGATTTCTAGGCTTATAACCCTCATTGATGATTGAATAGCTAACCCGCGTGTTTTTCTACACATGTCATATTAAAAAGTTTAAATACCCATCGAACTTGATGTCTTAAGAAGGGCAGTGAGTCCTTTGCCCCGCAGTGGGACGATAACAGCTGATAAAAAAAAAACCATGTAAATTTCAACCTTTGTTAGCATGGCTGACTCTATGTTAAGTAAAAGAAAATACTTTTAAGTTGTATTATTAAAAATTGTCTTCGTAAATATATTTGCTAATATTTTAATAGAATTCTCGATAAAATTATGTTCTCAAAATCTTCTAAATATAAGTCTGATTCTCGAAGTACTTATTTACTATGTAAGCTTCATAACTGTCATGATGTTGACTTTAAACACTGTATGTCCAAGGAAACAGTGTATTTAAATACACTAACTTCCCTCGGCCTGAGGAAATTGCTCTGTAACATTAGTAGAAATGTTGTAAAACTGAAATTTTTATATAAATCGAACAGTCGACCAAGCTTTTTGATATGGAGGTAAGAAAATAAATATTGATTCGGTACTTTCATAAACAGTAGCTATTGTTATACTAAAGGCCTGTTTCATCACCATTATTAAAGTTCCCGATAGACTTATGTGGTACTTACTTCGTACACGCCCTGGGTAGGGATAGAGGGACTCTTACTGACTAAAATCCACTCCGTTCCTTCTTCAGCTCTAGGCCGGGGCCTCGGTACCCCGGCTATTTTTAATGTAAAAATGTTGCTTTCCATACTAGGATTTTCTCCTGTGTCGTGGATACGTTTACATACAAATTCATATACACAAGTACACAAGCCACCCAGACTCAGAACAATTTGTGGATCACACAAATTGTTGTTCTGTGCGAATCGGACTCGCGGCACGTTGTACACCAGCTAGTTCACCAGCCACTACGCAAACCGTATAGAAGTCTATTACTAAAGTGGCCATTAAGGAATTAAACCAGGCCTTAAATTATATGCTTTTTAATAAAGCCATATCTATTGTAATAATTAGTCGTCTGATTACTGTATATGCTTTGAATCAATAATTATTTACTTACCTTTACATAATTTGAGTAATTACTTTAAGATTTTGAAATGATGACCAGTTTAGAATCGGTGTCACTGGCAAAATTATCGAATATATTCTACCAATGAAAGAAAACGCTGATCAAAAATGTGATTTTCAACAAACGAAACTATTTTTCGAAATGAAAAAGAAACTTTTATCTAATAATTGTTCTATTCTAAGGTTTTTGCTCACAGTGAGTTGTTTTTATTGAGTATTAAAACTTGTATGTTAAAGTAAGAGAAGCTTATTATTAGTTTTAGTTAACTTTTATATCGCTGCGGAAGATATGTGTGTGTTTTAAAATGTCTCTTATGGACCTTTGACCAAATTGTCTTATAAGTACCTATGAACAAATTGTTGTACTTTAAAAGGTTGTCGTTGGATTTCCTCCTGTATCGTGGGTTCGTAGGTACGTTTACTAACTTACAAACACATAGGCATCACCCCTAGACCCAGTAAACAGATTTGTGGATCACACAAACATGTGTTACTTGTTGGGTACATAGTTCTTGTTCCGCAGCTAGTTGAATAATTTATTGTATGAAAAGCACCATAGAATTAGCACATTGGTGAACATTTTTAGGATACAAAATTACACAAAAATATCGAAAAATAATATACTTATTGTAATGTTTTTTTTTTCGATACTTACTTTGTAGGTATTGTTTACTATTTTTTAGATTCTACAAAACATTACGTTACTTGGCTCAGTCAAAACCACATTATTTCGATATAAATAATAATCACACTTTCTATATAAGTAATTGATTTTGCAGTAAACTTCTAATTCGTATTTCTGTACCAAATTCTCAACAAAATTTTGCTATTTGACGCAAAACACACTACACTATCTTGAACAAAATTCTGAGTAATGTCAATTTTGATAATTACATAAAGGATGAGAATTGATGTCAAGTACCTAATTGTAATTGTATATTTTGTGAAAGGTCATGAATATTGTTTATCTGTGAAACGGGATGAACAGATGCAAAAGAAGGGATGTGGGAGAGACATGCTTCAGCACGAATGGATCCTCTAGAAGTGTTACTAAGCCTCCAAAGAATCATGGCGTGAAAAATCCACAGCATTGTTGTTCGTTGTGATCTTTCCTCTCTGTATCTATTCACCCCGTTTTAGTGTTGAAACAACTACATTACGCTGTACTTTAGAAAGTTTTCTGTAATGTAAAAGACTCTGTCTCTATCTTTTTACATAAATACTACACATAAATGTATGTAGATTTGGTGTCAAGATTTATGTCCGTTTTTAATAAAATAATCACCTTGACAGTAAAATCGCAATAACATTATCCAATTTATTTTTTAGTAGATAAGCAGGTATATATTTTTCTTTATATGGAAAGTAATGAATTTATAGTATTCTTTATCGTTATATGTATTACCTTGATAATTAAGTTATTGTACTTGTTATAATTTAATCCATAAATTGGACTTAATTCAGTCACTTTTCTATGGTTATTTTTTATTGAAAACGGACTCAAATATGATGTATGTCGTGTAACGCAACGGTTTAAAAGTCAAAACTTACTTTCATTTTATTTTCTACTATCAACCTTGGATCTCAATCATCAAGAAATTATTTTTTGTTTGTACTAAAGGTTACAAAATGTAGTCGAAAGCTATTTCCATAAATAATGTACCATGTATACTCTATACGTTTTCATATACATGCTATTTGTAAGAAACCTCAGATTTAATGGGAGATTTTTTTTTTGGTGACGACACGTAAGGTCGTTTTTTCGATGAAAAGAGCATTGATCTATTTATTGACCGCGCTTGCTTAAGGTGGATTGGAGATTTCCTCCTATCATCATTTAACAGTGGTACCAACAGTGGTAAGCCTATTAAAGTGACAAAAAGTAAAAAGTATTTTTGCAAGTATCAAAACTGTGTATTCAGTACAGTATACAGTGTGTTTAAAAAATATTGACACTTGCAACACGATTTTAAATCTGTAATCTCTTGATTGAAAGACGAGACAATGCATAAAAGACATGGCATCAAATGTCACCTTACTCCGATCTTAAATAGGCTATAAATACTTAATTAAGTTAGTAACACGTATCACTCGAGATTGTAACTTTATTGAAGATAAATAAAGTATAATTTTGCTCGTCACAACTTAGCCACTTAATTCTTTACTTTGTAATCTGAGGTTTTCAAACATAATGTTTCAACTACGAAGATTGTACCACCTTTAGTGCCTTAGTAATTATTTTGTTGCGTAATATCTCTATTTATTAATTATTTACTTGTTGTCTCTTGCATCGCTATTTTATCTTCCCCAATGACAATGCAAAAGCAACTTTAAATGTAATAAATGAAAGTCTCAATTTGTATAGAATGTACAGATGCTATTTGATGTTTAAAATAAAGATTATTTAATTCCATGTTTTTTGTTTTCTTTCGACGTATTACATTGCCAAGGTATAGTGCCAACCAGTATTAAGTTCCCAGTATAAAAGTCTTATGAACGCAAATGGAACTAACTATATTAGCCCTCCTTTGATTGGTTGGTTAACTTGAAGCGCGCCAATCAGGGCGCCGAACGTCATAAACATGTCGATCGCCTAATTGATTCTAATCTCAATTGCATTAGGCGATCGATAACAAATTTGATCAAATTGCACTAAGCATTCTGATTCATATATTAAACATAAAAAAATGTTGCCTAACTATGATCTTCTCCTGTGTCGTGGTTGCGTATATAAACATACAAATTCACATACACAAGCCACCCAGACCCGAAACAACAATAAGTGTTGTTCCATGCGGGAATCGAACCTGCGACACGTTGCACAGCAGCTAGTTGCCCAGCCACTGCGCCGACCGTGCAGTCAAATTATATTTTATTATTATTAATTTGGTAGTAACTTCTGAAAACCAAATATGGGAGACAAATTACTAAAGAAAAACTACAAAAATAATGTTCAAAACACTTTATTAATGAAATCAAAGAACATACAAGCTATAACATGATATTACATTAGAAATAACAATAGTGCATTATAATAAATTAATTAATGGTAACTTGTTGTAACAAACTATGTTTGTACGACTTCACATGACTAGCTAGTTAAACAATTAAGTAACTCTCATACTGTTTGTTACAAGTTTTGAACTTATAAAGGTCTCACTAACGATATTAATTAACCAAACCCTGAGCGAACGCCGGCGTTCGCTCACCTATTGTGCATCGAGTTACCACGTTTACAAGGTAACAATCCCACATGATGGTAAGCAGTGATGCAATCGTTGATGGTAATGCGCACTGGTTTATTAAGAGCCTATTCACTCTAGCCTTGAAGACATCTAAATCATAACTGAACGGGTAGACCGTTGCAGGCAACCTATCAATCCTTAGATGTTGGTATAAATGACGCAGCGAAATGTTAAAAGATTAAAATAAGGTTCAGTATTGAGGTAAAAACAGCCGATTCCCTAGTCTGACCAGCTTAAAGGCAACCTAATACTAATATTTTGCTCTAAGCAGTGGCTGCAGACCGAAGTCGGCCGTCCATACCATAATGGTGCCAGGATGATCATGATTCACCTTCTTGATGTGAGGGAACGACCAAAAAGATATAAAGGTGCAGTAGATTATTAGTTTTGAAGTAAAAAGTTAATAATAATGTCTTTAAAAAGTAGGTACAAATTGAGAGGACCATGGGCGCCCGTTAGGATGCATATTTCAAAACATGTCTTTTAAAAATATCTTGGATAATACATTATAAGGTTATTTTGGCCCTCAGGACTAAATTCCTTCATTTCGTACTTCACAAAAAATTTATTGTATGAAACATCAAGGTAAGGGAAAGTTTTTAGACGTGACCTTGACCTTTGATGTTTGAATATTTGTGAGTCCTATTTTGCTAAGGTAATCACCATGTCTAAAATGCCTTTAAGGCGGATTAATAATGTTATCTTTTACTTAGTTTTTGACAGTCATGTGACAGGTCGAATCTCTCTCTAAGGACCTTAGGTCGAATTCAGGCCTAGGTCACTATCACCTTATCCCTAAAATAACAATTATAATACAAGTCAATTATAAAAATAAATCATGATACCTAAATGTACATATGTATGTGCATCCCCTGCACTTTGCCGCCAGCGGGCGCCCGTGACTATTATTACTATGCAAGTACAACAAAGAAAGCTTAGTTTTATAAAATGACAATTTTAAAGAGATATTTTATCATGATACTTACTTATACAAAAATGAATAAATAACAAGTTCACTAAGCAACGTAGCCAAAATGAGCTAATATAAAACATTATTTTCTTATACATACATACAAATAAGACATATGAAATTATAACAATCTCGTTTTAGATAAAATAGTGAATTCAAGCAATTTATTCGAGTTATTTTCAAAGACGATGAAAATGTTTAAAAGCACATTAGAATTAGAATTAGCAATATTATTGCAACACAATTAAATAACAATAATAATTATGAATAAATTAAATAATCTCACTGTTGACAACCATTAAATTGCTATAACTTATTTTAGTACAATTTTAATAAATAAAAAAATGTGCAAACAATACATTCAAACTTAATAACAAGGATGATGACAAACAATTACAAATCCATAAGGTAAAAGGAAAAAAAATATTTAACATAAATTATGGTAAGTATTATACAAGGAAAGCAGAGGTTCAGGGGAAGAAAAGAGGAAGGGGATGTTAATGCTATATAATTATATTTTAGGTATTTTTCCCCCTCCCCTGTTGTTTATATCCATGTAATAAGAGTTCCCCAACATTGTATTCCAGAAATTTTTCACCACCATCATGTTTTCAATTGTCATTTTAACACTATATTATAACCAGATTTGCTAGAATATCAGTATTTAACATTAAGACAAGTCATCTTCCATATTTGTAAAAGATAGGTTAAGGGTAAATGAGCTTGATTAAGGGCTGATTTTTCAATGGTTAGATAAAAGTCAACTGGGGAATAATTATGATGCAATCGCGTCAGAATGTTTGTATAAGACAGTGACGGCAACAATTTTATTCCTCAGATAACATTTATCCGACTATTGAAAAATCAGCCCTTATTAAAAAAAACCTTAGTAGGTATTGTATGATATTGACTTCCAAGAATCTCATCCGAGGTAGCAATCGCTGGAGATAGAAAACCTCTTTCCATTTTTAACTTTTAATTATTTCTTGCAATTTCTACATGCGTTCTTTCTTCTCTTTTCGGGATGTTTAAAAGGCCTTGAGGACAAATAAATTGAAGAAAATATTTAGGATCATTCATGGAGGATCAATAACTACAGAATTAACTAAACTACCCGTTGTAATACTTTGGTGGAATTGTTAGTAAATATTATTTATATATAATAATTAAATAATGATACAAACGCAAGCATGTTAAGTTACAACTAAAAGTAATGTCAAAATTCTCGATAATGAACGCTGTGGGGACTCCAAAGCTGTGCTTATTGGATCTAATGGTGATTATTTAGGTGGTTAGAATGAGATGGGAATCCTACAATTCCTAGTCTTTTATTACCATGGAGTTTGTTATTTTTATTTGCATGTTGTTGCTTTGGAACGAGCTAATAGCTTCAAGCTAGAGGACAGACAGATAGTCTGACACACAAAAGTGCATACAGTGAGTGGTCTGTTTAAAACAAATGATTTTGACATTGACTTTGACCAAAAGCCTTTACCTTTAAAAAATCTGAATGCCTTAGAAAACATTAGCTGACTTCATTGGAGAGATCCTGATTACAACTTATCACATATATATATAGGTAAATGGTAACTTGAAAAGTATGCAGGATCGTACATGCGTGATGTTATCAACGTAAGTAAAAAAGTCAAAGTAAAATAATAAAAATGTTATACATTTTGACATTTTAGCGTAACTTGACATGTAAAACTCTAACTATTATGATAATATATTATAGCCGTAAAGGGCAAGAATATTAGAAATATAATTAGGCCATTATAAAGGTAGCGTTAAGGAGATAATTTATGAATTGTTTTAAAATTTGATCTAATAAATCTAATGCAATGTTTTTGCTTATAGTTTTAAAATTGGAGATATAGATGTATTTTGATAGTTATCACACTTTCATAAGGGTTAATTTTGAATACAATGAAAGAGTTTTAGACAATTTTTTTCAATGCAAAAAATAGTCACATTGATATACAAAAAAGTTTTAGATGGGTCAAACAGTCGTTATGTCGTGAATCTGTTTAATAGATTTTCAATCTTATCCTTATTGTAATAAATTTGAAAATATGTTAATAAAAATTCTGACTGACCGATTTGTAATATCACTGAACCTTTGCATCTAAAACTTTAAATAAAATATATCAATGGGTAAAAATCCAATTTCCTAAAAAAAACTATATTCAAAAAACATTGCAATACAAAAAATAAATAAATACAAACTAGTGAGAAATAACGATGAGATCGAAAAATCGTTTTAAATATGGCAACAAAACGCATATAGATTAAACATCGTTGTCTCTCTCGCTCGTAACGTGGGCGGATATTTCCGTCTCGCTCTGTCGTGTGTGTTAGAAAGAATAAATTACACGGCACTCTTCATTTCTTGTTTGACGCAAGATTTGAATGCCTCCCATCCTTCGTTCTTGGCGTATGACTGAAAAAAGTGAATAAAAAAGATTATGAATAAAAATCATAATACTATTTTTTGACTGAATAGTTTTAGGTTGGTGTACTATAATAATATATAGTACCAAAATATATATAAATATGATTTAAATATTACATTTATTATGTACAATAGATAGTACAGAAGTAAAATGGGGTATATTTTAAACTTTATCAATTATCTTTATAAACTGCCCGGAAAATAGCAATTTGATTAAATCATTTTAAATTATTAAATAAGTTAAAAAATACAACAAAAAATAACGTAAATTTACTTTGACGCGACAGGATAACTTTGATTCAAACTTCCAATCCAATGAAGAAGTAATATACGGTTTGTTTTGGGTTATTATTGGATAAGGGATTCAAGTTTTTTTGCAGGGCCGTAGCTACCCAACCAAATATTAAAAATACGTTTTGTATAGAAATGTATGTCAAATTATGTGGTTACGTATTTCGAAGAGTGTCTCAACTGGCCCTGTGGCGCAATGGATAACGCGTCTGACTACGGATCAGAAGATTCCAGGTTCGAATCCTGGCAGGGTCGCAAATCTCTTTTTGTTAATTTTCATTTTATGTTTTATTAAAAGCTCTTCGTAGCATAATATTTAGTTATTATTGACTTTATTAAAAAGATAATATTAAGGAATAAATATTTAAAATATATATTTTATTTTTTAAATAGATATCGACCTAACGATATTAAAAAACTAACATGCGATACACCTTTGTTTTAGAAACTAGAAATGCTCTAACAAAATATACCTTATTCTAATAAAATACAGTTCAAATCCTTTTGGGAACAAAATTGTAACTAAAGAATGGTAATTTACACCATCAATACAGTTTCTGAATTTCCTAATCGTATAAAAAGACTGACCTTGAATCCTCTATGGAGTCTATCCTTCATGATGGCGATGAACTCCTTATAGCTGAGCAGGCCGTCTCCATCAGCGTCGAAGATAGCGAACACAGTGCTTACCAAGTGTTCTGACTGAGATATTCCCGTACAGATCTTTACCGCACGATGAAACTCGTCTGGGGACAGAAAATTAATTAATTAACTTAAAAAGAAACGATGAGGATTATTGGACAGTTTTGTCAGTGAAAAAGAAAAATTATTTACAACTTTTCATAACATTATTATGTACTTAAAAATAATCAAATGTCACAAATACTTTTTGTATTTTTCTAATTAATTTTTTTTATGACGTCACACCCAACTTGGTACGCGTAGCAAAACTAATTTCTATCTTATTTTATAATTAATTATTATTTTATAAAATTTATAATTCTATGAATTTTGCTAGAAAAAAATAATTATACCATTTTTTCATTTACTTCTATTTTTATTTCATATTATAATTCTATGAATTTTGCTAAAGAAAAATACCTTTATCATTTTTTTCAATTATTACTATTTTTACGTTTCGAAAAAAAAAAACGATTTCCTCTAATTCGAAACTAAGTAATATTAAATAAGATTCCATACTTAAGTTTTCGTCATTGATTCTTAGAGAGCACGGAGATTTGTTAGCGGCAGTTGAAACTTAATCGAGTGCTTCAAAGGTATTTCGATTTTGAAAATTGCCAATGAGATTTCGTATTTAAGCTATGTCAGTTACAAAAAGCAAAACACTAATAAAAGGTACCTAGGTGCGCGTTAAATCCTGTAAAACAGTAAAGTGTGCTCAAAGAATGCTTTTAAATGATACCTTTAGAAATCGGATGATCAGCTAGCGTGTACATTCTCATAGCGATAGTAAAGTCTTCAAGGTTGTTGAGGAACTGGCAGAAAGTCTTGAACTCTTCGAATGTGATGCCGTGCTCATACTTGACGCGGTCCAGGAGACGGTCGAGGTACATGTCGTATTCATCCGTGTCCAAGTAGGTGTAGCGAAGGAGAATCTTTGCAAAATCTACTTCGGATATTGTTTCATGACCTGGAATTTAAATTAAATGTGTACATTATTGGTTAATTATTAAGATGGATTTTAGATTGGCAACATGCAATTTTAGCAGTATAATATTCCTTTATTTAAACACGTGTGTCGTGTTACTTCCTAAGTTGAACAAAGTGTAACTGCTATCAGATTTTTTTTAAACTAAGTATTCTTGGTAAACAAAATTGTTCTGAGATTTTTGAAAATTTTCAAATGAGTTATTAATATTTAAAAACAAAAAATACCTACAATAGTGTTTAAGGAAGTAATTGCAATTCTTTACCTACTCATGGTAAGCAATCAGCGCCGCCCAGGACCTACAAGTGCACTGCATACTAGGCTTTTGCCATTTAGGGATTGGAGAGGGATGGACTGCCATTACTTATTTTATAACGCCGGGCAGATATTTGAAGGTCAAATATAAGTTATAATTGTAAAAGAAAGATTAACATACCTTTAGCAAACTCATGGAACTCAAGCTCCAGCACCTCAGTCTGCAGGTTCTCCATGAACTGTCTGAAACCCTCGAACTTCAGGTCATTCGTACCTTTCTTGCCGAAGAAATGTACCTGGAATTCATAAATTTAATGAATTTAACAAAGCTTTAATGAACTCATTCAATTATAGTAATAAGTGTGGGAGAGCCAAGCTTCGGCATGAATGGGTCGGCTCCACCGGAGTGATACCACGGCCTCACAGAAAACCGGCGTGAAACAACCAATAGCGTTGTGTTTCATCGTGTGAGTGAGGTTACCGGAGGCCCAATCCCGCCCCTTTCCCTATCCCTTCCCGATTCTTATATCCGCAACCCCTATCCCCAAAAGGCCGGCAACGCACACGTAACTTCTTTGGTGTTGCGGGTGTCTGTGGGCGGCGCCGATTGCTTACCATCAGGTAATGCGTCTGCTCGTTTGACGACTTATACCATAAAAAATATGTTGTACGGTTTTATCACGTAGAGGAGTCATAGGCTCCGGTAGTCTTGAAATTAGTCGAGCTATCTTATTTTAGAGTATAAGCTGTACAAGGTAATGAAACATTGCTTATTAAAGTGTTTGTTATTATTATTCGCATTGACATGTGCGCAGTATCTATAGTTTTGTAGACCAGGTTTTGAATACGAAAATAATAATAATACCTTTTTCGATAATTAAAACATAACACATTATTAATCCAATTTAACTGCGCAAAAAAAAATACTGTAATAGAAGATTTTTTTTCTCCAAAAAACTTTAGGTACAGTCAGATAATCAATTCAAATTTTGAATTAATATTAAAATTCCATTTGCACATAATGTGTACAAAGGTGGACTTAATTACCTGCAGAAAGGTATCAACATTGTGTCTCCTTTGTAGACCTTGATCATCATTAACGTAGTTCTCGTGGGCCTTATCATCCCCTTTCCCATCCGATTTATCATCCGGAGACCCATCACTCTTATTCTCTTCATCCGTCATCCCTCTTTTGCCACGCCACGCAAAACTGAAGATCTTCTCCATCTGGAATCATTTTTAGAAGGGATTTGAGTTACAGAACTTGTTCTTGATAGATTGTTAAGAAAAGTGGAGTTTGACATGTAGTTGAGTAAAAAGAGAGAAAGAGTAGATTTGAGTGTCTGATGTTCTGAAGAAGAAAATTTTAATGTGTGTAAGAAAGCGTAATGTTATTCATATGTATGTAAAATAATAAGAGAAAAGTTATGTATGGAACAGCCATGCTTAGGCACGAATAAGCTGGCTCGACAGGTGTGATACCATGGCCTCACAGAAGACCGGTGTTAGACAACTTCAGTGTTGTGTTTCGCCGTGTGAGTGAGATTACCGGAGGCTTAATCTTTCCCCTCCTCCTACCCTTAAATCCCCAATGGTTTTGCGACTGTCTATGGGTGACTTAGATTGCTTACCATCAGGTAATCCGTCTGCTCACTTGCCGCCATATCACATAGAAAAAGAAAAGTTTTCACTATAGAGCAAAAATTAAGTTATAGTAAAGCGTTCTTTAAAAAAAAGATGACAATAGCATTGAGTATAATATGACTAGAAAATATATTGATGCAAGAGAGATGTAAAGAAATTATATGAGACTAGAGATAGAATTTGACAGAAGAGAATAATAGCTTAAATAATTAAAAATAAGGAAAAGTCAAAGAGTAATCATAACATATCATATCATATATATCATATAAGAGAATATGTTAAAGTTTTATAGTGTAAAGTAAAAAGAGATTAAAAGCAAAATCATTACTTTTTAAATTCATCTCAAAGACCCTAAAATAACCTAATCATTACATAAAAGTATAAGTTGCCATCAGAATTTCTACCTTATTAGAAAGGCTCTTTAAGTGTGTTTTGGTTTTGCCTAAGCGTGTTATGTTAAGTGTTATTTGCGGTTTACAGTCTGTACTGACGCATAAAACATTGAAAACCAACAAAATTAGTTACAATTTTCATTGAAGTATACAGTACATTTATTATGAATGTTACTTAGAGAAATTACGTGCAATCTTAAAAACAATTATCACCAAGTTTTGGAGTAATAGAAAATTAGTTACAACAATATTTCAGAAAATTATTGCCATTGAGTATAATTATAATTAATAATAATTATGCTAAAGCTAATTAAAATTATTCACAACATAAAGCACAAAATATTTAACGAAAAAGCGAACAGTTCAATAATTATTTTAACACAAATATGAAGCACAAATGATGCTGTATAATAATTGGGCATACATAACCCATACCCACTACACATTATTTATACCACAAAATATGACCATAAAACACCCGACTACACACAAAATATCGAGTCTTGCGCAAATCTGCGCAAACATACCTACATGCGCTAAATGCTTTGTGCAAACCTATTTATATGCGCTAAATGTTTCGCGCTATCTAAAAAATGTTAGCGCTACTATAAAAATGCATGTAGTCAGGTGTAACAACATTCAAAATCCAATAAAAACGTGACGACATGAGAAAACGGACGGACATAAGCGATGTCCACTTGTCACTTACGGTGGACGATACCGGGACTTCATGACTGGCCCTGTTCTTCATTGCACTTGTCGACACTAAGGTAAGCAGCTAATGAGCATATAATACACACATAAATATTATTTACATATAATTCGTTTATACATATATGTCTTACACAAAATAAACATTACCAAAAACTTAAAAGATAAGCATAAACACCTTATTATGCCGCTCGGGGTGAAATCAAACAAAAAATTAAAATTTAAGTCAAAAAAAAATACAAAATCTCAAAAAATTAGAAAACTTTTTTTTATTTTTAAAAGCCAAATATTTTAAGTCATAGTTTAAAATTTAATATGTCACAAGTAAATCGAAATTTAATTAAAGTAATTGGGACTTTTTTTAGTTAATTCGTTTTCGTCCCAATCACGGTTAAGTCACAAAATTATGTAAAAAAATACACACATTAGAGCGGCATTATTATTAACCTTTTGTTTCGATATGGTTAAAATTTTGATTCTGAAATTAAACGTATTTAAATAGTAAAAAAAAAGTAAGAAGTATTTTTTTTCAATCTAACATAAATTGATTAATAAGAGAAATCGCAAGAAAAAAAAAAACAACACGTTCCCAATATTTTGATAAATTCAGTATTAAAAAAATTAAAATTCGAATCAAAATCTTAACCAATGACAAGTAATAGCGAGGCGTCCCTTCCGAAAGCTGTTATTTATCAACTCACTGCCTCTTGGCTCTTCGGGTCCAAATTTTTACGCTCCTTAAACGTACCACCCAGCAGGCGTTGGATCTAAATAAATACACGGCAGAAAAAACATTCAAAAACTAAAAAAAAAACGAAGGAAAAATAAAAATGAAATAAAAAGGGTAATTAGGCGGATAGGTCATTGGATTTTGTCGCACAGAGATAGGTAGCATGCTTTTTAAACATTTACTAAAATCTTTTTTAAAAGCTCTCTACATTAGTCTGTATTCACAATTTTGTTTCGACAAATTCTTGAGTTGTGATCGAAAAAACAGTGTGAATTTTACACAAGACTTGTTGTAGCGAAAATAATGTCCTCCACATTTGTGATAAAGCTCAATTTGGCATTAAATACATCCAAATACGAATTTTCCAGAGAATTCCACCACCAGGTATTTTGTTAGTTACGGTTCAGTTGTGAGTTTAAACAATATCTCGTTCGCCTTAACAAATGTTCGGGGTTTGCTGTACGCTGTTATAATCTAAACACTGTGTGCTACGCCTAATTCAGCTCGTGCTAATTTTTATTCTATATGCCTACAGCATGGTGCTGGTGATAGCGGAGAGCGATTTTTATAGGTATTTGTTGAAACGTGAAGGTCTCTTTTAAAGTTTAAAAAAGGTTTTTCACGCAATTCACACCAGTGCATAGAGTAACTTCTCTACGACTTTTTTTGAAGGAGGAAATCGTCAAATGTCTTCTTCTGCCCTGGATAGGGCGAGAGATAGTGTCAGATTCTTAATGACAAAAAACTAGCCCGTTCTTTTCTTGCTTCAGGTCGAGGTCGCCGTAAATTTTTGCGCTTGACCCGCAACACCGTTGTTAATTGCCCCTCACAAAAAAAGAGCCGAAGAAAGCTATTTTACTAGCGGCAGAAACCTATATTCTCAAATCGCTTTCCGCTTTCATAAGCACCGTACTCCCATATATTAGTTAGTATACTCACGACTAAGAACTCGTTCTTATCAACCCGTTGGTTACCGTCCGTATCGAACATATTGAACGCGATGCGGAAACCTGAAGCCGGCTCTGAAATACAAAATTACGCGGTAAAGATAACTTAGAAACGTGTGCACACGTAATGATAGTTTTGTAAACATTATTTAAGGTAGATGTTTCGCTAGCTTATACATATTTTAAGAGTCAGGGCGAGAGAGCCATACCACGGCCTCACAGAAAACCGGCGTGAAACAACCACAGCGTTGTATTTCGCCGAGAGAACCGGAGGAGGACGTTACCGGAAGCCCAATCAGGAAGGAATTTGCCTACCCAATCCCTAATCCACACAAGGTCGGCAACGCACTCGTTACTCCTCCGTTGTTGCGGGTGTCCATGGGCGGCGCCGATTGCTTACTATCAGGTAATCCGTCTGCTCGTTTGCCGTCATATCACATGAAAAAGCCGTCTCAGCAACATAAGTGTTCATAGATATGTGACATAAAAAGACACGCCGACTTTTTTTTCAAATATTTTTGCAATACGCTTAAAAATGTAAACTGATTTCAGAACACTCCGCTCCTCAAGTCTACAAATTGCCTAGAAATCAAGTTTTACAGCGATGCTCTGTGTTCTGTGATTGCAAATCTTTGTTTTATTTGAAGTTGCTCATCGATTTCTAGAAACTACGAAACTATTTGAATGCATACTTACTCGTTAGAATTGAGAGCAGGAACAGATACTCGGTGTAAGAGATGATTCCTGGAAACACGAAATTTAGTTTTAAAGGAGATATTACAAGAGCACATGTGCAGAGATTTGCTTCTTTTTTACGAGTATTGCAAGTAATGACTTTGTGTAATGAGATTATTAGAAGCAGGAGTAACTTTTAATAATCATAATTGGGTATTTTCTTTCGGTTCGAAAGAATCATCAAACTTTGGAATACAATTGGACATTCAAAAATTTATTTAACGATACAGTAGGCCTACCATGACGTATCTCGCTTTAACCCGTCATAGCAGACCAATTTTTTTAAAATAAGTATCCTATTAAAGCAAATATGTGATGAAGCCAGTGTCTATATCAAATAAAATCCATAAAAACGTATATATAGTATTTGACTTTTCATTAAGGGCTGATTTTTTAATGGTTAGATAAAAGTTTTCTGGGTAATAATTATGATGCTGTCGCGTCAGAATGTTCATATAAGACAGTGACAGCAATAATTTTATTCTTGCAGATAACATCTATCTGACTATTGAAAAATCAGCCCTAAGAGCATTGAATACAATATTCCAGTAACGATACAAAGAAAACGTTGTAAGATTATTTTAACTACTTACATCCAAGTTGTATTATACGAAAAAAAACTTTGAATGAACCTTAGTTCCAATTAGCTAAGGCACAAAACCTGCTTACCTTTATCCCTCATATTGCGGAACATCTGCGAGGATCCCTTCTTGAGTGGGGGCGTGTTGTCCCGCAAGTGTTCTATCTCCTTGGTGGTCAGCACACGCCGCTTTAGTCGAGCTGTGAATTTTAACAGATAGAAATTAATTGACTTCATTAAGTTTTGCATTCAAGTTTTTCTTAGGTAGCTTAAAGCATTGATATTTCAGGTTAAAAGTACAGGTTGAAAGTCTTATAATTTAGCGTTATTTGCTTCTGTGTTTCGGAAAGAAAAACAAAACTAAAATTTGTCTCACACAAAGACAGTACTTAAAATAAAGTAGTTCGAGTGCCTATCTCTTTTTCACGTTAAGCATTTTAGTTTCTGAGAGAAGAAGCTCTAGGTAAAAACCATCCCGCTTCTTCTCCTGCTCTGAGCCAAGGCCGCGGTACGTTACTGGCATCCGCACTATGTTTTACACGACGTAGTGAATATTTCTTTATAAAAATAATAATAAATGCCCCACACTAGGATTTTCTCCTGTATCAAAGGGTGCGTTTACAGACATACAATTTCAGATACACATCACGCCCAGATCCGAAACAATAATTTGTCAATGACACCGAGTAATCCGTGCGGGAATCGAACTCGCGACACGTTGCACGGCAGCCCGTTGTCCAGCCACCGCGTCAACCGTGCAATCAACAAGGCCCTCTGACTTTGTTTTTTTTAGTTGTGTAAAAACTTTAGAATTCAACATTTAGAACCTCTAGTTATTTAGACTACATACGTCTGGGTTCTTGTTCGACGACGGACTCCAAGAAGTCCTGTGGTGTCATGTACAGCTGTCCTCCATACTCGACGCTCGCAAACTTGATGAACCGCCTCTCTCGGGATGTTAGCTTCACCGACTTGGCAAGCTCGTCTGGCTGTAGAACAAAGATAGAACTCGGTTAGATAGCTTTTAAAAGAAAAATATTTCTATATTTCCAAAATAGTAAAACGCATTACCACTAAAATTTTTGACGACTAGGTAAGTATTGCGTAATCCCTTTTGTAACTTTTGTTTGTGATTTAGAAAATTATAAATACATATGGGTCTATGTTGGTTTTTCAGTAAAATTATTATGGCATTTTAAATTCTGTTTTCAATTTCATGTGAATATTTTGTGCATTATAATAAATAGCTTTTCATATCTTTAGTAATCATCGGTCATTTCATTGTTTCGTTAGTATTTTAGTTTACTGTACTTCGAATCCTACGAGTAATTCCATGAACTGCTCTGTTAGGGATTTTGGTGTGGGCTTCCCAATCACTTTTAGTCTTAGAATATCTTCTAATAGAATATAATGTTTTAAGAGATCTTTGCCCTGTAATAAGTTTGTATGTAGACCCTGTCCTAGTAAAAGGTATTTTTATATATAGGTGTTACCACAGAGTATTAATATCTGCTGCGAATACATCGATGGAATCTATCAGTTCCGTGTTTTGGCAAAGCTGGTGAGTGAGTAATACGTTCGGTTTGTATCGTAGGGCGGGTCGATGCACTCCTTGTTGATATCAATCAATCGATACATTTTATTTTCATCTATGAACTTGAAGTGTAGACGTGTGATTAAGAATAGTTCATTTTTGAAAATTATCATTTGGTCTTTTGCCAGCACTCATTGTCGCTAGACTGCGTGATTAGTAGCTATGTCCCCTTAGAAAAACATCGTTAGAAAACCCGGGCTTATAATTCTAATCACAAGTTTGAAATTGCCAATCTGCCTTGAGCAAGCGTGGTGTAATCTCCATGCAAACATTAATATGCTCAAATGTTCTTCGTTTGAGTAGAGGCCTTTGAACTAACCACCTATAATGAAAACTTTTAATTTAGATTGAAGAAAAAATTCAGGTGACAAATTAAAATCATGAATGTAAGTTTAATGTTTTAGCAGTTGCGACTATTATAATTTGCGATTCACAAAGTTCCGACAAATAAGTCGTTCGTCTGTACCTACATGATATCTAGAAACACAATCAAAATCCAAAGCTAAGAATTCCATAAATAAATGAAGTGGAACCGAGTAACAAGATACGCGGAATAAAAGTATTTTCCCTCGTTCCTTTGCGCTTAAAATAATATTTTCGGTTAAGGCGAAAACGAATGCGGAGGAGTTTTGCTAAATTTGGCGTTGACTATTTTTGTTTGGCTTACACTAAGCGACCAACATAAGTTGAACCGTGACAATGGATGTGCTAATGGATATAAAACTTTAAGAAACTTATGTAGATCTTTTATTATTGGAAACTTTATTAGTGAATAATGGTCTTTCAGTCGTACTTTAAAAATTAACCGTTATTGTAAATTTCGTATTGGACTTATACGCACTGCTTTGGCAGGTCATGATTTTACTTAGGTAAAATTTAAAAGGAATCATATCGAATCATATGGCGATAAACCAACCAACCACCAGAATGCCGATTTACTATTTAATAGGGCAGCAAACAATCAGGCGAATTACCTGATGGCAAGCAAACGGCGCCGCCCGACTCCCGATGGACACCCGCAACACCAGAGGAGTTGCGGGTTTGTAGTCGGACTTTTGATTTAGGGATTGGAGGTGGTAACGGTAACCTCGATTACAACGCGAAACACATGGCTGTGGTTTACACGTCGGTTCTCTTTGAGGCCGTGGTATAACTCCTGTCGAGTCGACCGATTCGTGCCGAAGCATGCCTCTCCCACACTGTTATTTTAAGCAACCAAACCTTAATAACATAGTTCCTTTCAACAACAAAATTCAAAGTTCCTAACTCCGCCGAAGTTCAAGATACACTGGACAAATTTATTTCCACGACAGATCGTGTGATGTGACAGCGTATTATCTATCTTAATGCAGAGCCGCTTCGGATTGAGTGCTGATGCTAGTGGTATTGTCATTAGTGATTGTGTTTGTTTACACAAGTCACTGGAGGAAATAATGGGATCTGGAACGATTTCTGACGGACTAAAGAAGGATTACTTTTGAGTATTGCTGACAAATGTGTGGGTAGCTAAGAATGTTAATGTTTAGTAACAGTAAACCAAGTTTAAGCCCATTATTTTTAGTCTTATTGTAATAGGGGATGAAAATATGATTCGACGTCATAAAGATTCAGTTTTACAATATAACAAAAAAAAAAAATGTATTTAAACTATATGCACCCATTAATTTTTGGACATTTTTGGACTCATAAATCACAGATGTATTCATCTGGCAAATCACACCCTGAACATATGTACTTCTAACAAGAGCCCAAAGTCCGTAAATAGTGCAGCGATACCGACGACTCATATTTTTTTTAAAATTCTTCGCAATTAATGCATCTGTGGTAATTTATAACATCGGCATTGTCGACTCAACTAACAAAGCAGTATCCTACGTATACATATGACATATACACAGACAATCGTCAAATAACTAAAATTAAATGAATAACTTAATTTGAAGAGCATTCTGACCATCCCTAAGCTCTAGTAACTCCTGACCTCTGCAACTCAAACGATTGAAAAACCCCTTAAGCACCCCTTGAAGCGGCGAACACGTAAATCTTTGAACAAATAATTCTCTTATCGCCACAATAAATCAGGGTTGTTATAAACCAACCCCTAAACTAATAGTCGTTTTGTAACAAATATAGCGATAAATTAAACGGTAACACCTCAAAAAGGAGTTATAAATTCAAATGGATGAAGTAAATGCATGTTTAAACAATTTATGTCAGGAAGGGGTATTTTTTTGGCTTTGCCGGTGTTTGGGCAATGCAGTGATTCATGGAAACAGGCGCCGTTAGCGATAGGACCCACGGACAAGTATTTAGGATGGCAAACAAGTTAAGAAATGAAGGTGATGAATGTTACAAAATGCCTATTCAGATTAAGGATGAGATGAATTTTGAGGATAATTTTTAAGATAATATGAAATATACAAAGGATGCTAAAAGGATGACGATGAAATCATCCCTGTCATTTTTCCTTAGCTGTACTCGAACGTACACGCAAATTGTGCTTTGTCCTAATAAAAGGTAAGAAACAGTAGTTCTCATTGCTCATGAAAATGATTACGGAAACAAACTAGGCAAACAAAGTAGAGAAAACAAAGTCCCCTTATGAGGAAAACAAAACTTTTATTCTATTCTTGTAGACACGGCTACTCAAAGAAAACAGAACCACTTAATGCGAATTACTACTAACACACTAAACTTACCCTCATCAACTCCGAAGTTTTACAACTTTTCCTCATAATCTTATGATGGCTAGAAAACAATGAGTACATGGTAAACAGCAAACAACTTTCTCTATTAATATTAAATGTTTCCTCCACTGGTAATATTAAATCAAAGGCACCATGTATCAGATACACAATATTAATTCCATATAAACTGGTAGCCATTAGGTACAATTTAGAGGCGTATTATCCGTCGCAGACATTAATAAATACTGTTTGTTTTATACTAGCTGCGCGCCCTGGCTCCTGTCGTGTACTTTGTTTGCAATGTGATGTAATGTGAAGGGGCATGGAATTAATATTGGAGTAACTAGTACTTATGTTAGTTCGATGCTTGGGTCGTTAAGTGCTGGTACCGTTTGATGTCCATTTGAATTGCTAATGATGGTTGATAACTTGATAACTCTTGCATTGTTATGATTTGAAGCTCTAAAGTTATGATTTACATTTTCAAACCCTGTTGAACGCAATTTCTGTGACTAATTACTCTCATTACTCACTGTTCAAATGAATATTCACTTGTTTGTATAACATTTCAAGATTCTGATGTATGAGATACTTTCCACGGTAAATTGCAGGCGCGACTTTGCAATGAATAAAATAATTTAAAACCAATAACATTTCAATTTCTAAGTAAATTTCTATTTACATCCAACTACGCAAGTGTCCATATTTCCATAACTTAGTGACATCACATTTCTATCAAACCACCTCATAAAAACTAAACGACGGACAAACTGAAACCACCAATTTGCATATTATTGCATTCGTAGTTAATTTGACATAAGGTCACATACATACATAGGAGCTTGTAGCAACAGGTTGAAAGACGATAATTGTGGTAACCTAACCTAATGAGATGTTTATGAGGGGGGGCCATCGCGATAGCCCGTACCCTCTAATTGTTCTACTAAGAACAGATCTCGTAGAAAACATCAATGATTCACGATGGGAAGTTCTCAATGATACGGATCACGTTGTAAGGGTATCCGGTGTGAATGAATGAGGGAATTTTACGGATTTCTCTCAAGCTTTCGATAGACCTAACAGATATATTTTGTACTAGCGCCCTATGATCTTGTAATTTGACAATGTATAGCTGATTACACCAGCCTTTCTCTTGTATGGGAGTAGAAGACAGGACAATTTGAACTATGAAGATTTAGATGCTGAAGGAGTGGAATCTAATTTGTAAGAAACTGTACAAGACATACACGAAGATAACATTTCTCTTAAGCCAAGTCGCCGGGTTTACTGGTTTTACAATAATTATGGAGTACGAATGTGATCAATTTAAACCACAATGGACATATCCAACATTTTCTGCGGCCATGCAATTAAGATTCTGAAATCAAAGTTCTTGAAGATTTTCTCACTTGCAATCTTGGATTCTGCAAATTGCTTAACATACTTGTTGTTGGAATGCTGTATTTATGCTAATATAGATAAAGTATAGAGATAGCTTCGTAGTAGTTAGAAGAATAAATTACTTACTTTAATTAGACAGTTATTAAGACTTCAAAGATTAATTTTTACTAGTTATACAGAAGCTAGTTTTTGAATACGTTTTGAGTTAGTACCTATCCAAAATTAACGATGATTATCTAGCTTCTAGGGAACAATTTACGAAAGGAATTTTCTTTGAAGGTCAATGGGAACCAATAAGTGTTTATCCTTCTCATGGTCGTTGGTTGAGCAGTACCAATGAAGGTGGTATGCTACTAATGTTACAAGGAACAGCACTGATTAATCGGCTCGCTTCGTCGATAGAAATCGTCATTATGCTGTACATATTTTACTAGGGACGGGTCGGCTGGTTTCACCGTTAGCTAGCATAATTTTAAGTTTTGCGCACGGATACATAGTTATTAAGGGCTCGCGGATAAATGAATGGCGGGTGGCTGATGATAAGTTTAACACTGTGATCGTTAGTACTTATTTATGTTCATTGTTAGGTACCACATTCCATATTTCTTTAAGTATTTTGTTTAGAGATTAGTATAGAGAATTGAAGATCTTGACCGTCGATTTTGGAACATTTCATTTTAAAATAAGTAGTTGTATTTAAGTCTGAGAGACTCTCAGACTTCCAGTCCACTACTACCTACTAGTTCCAGTCTACGACTACCAGTCGAATAACTATTGGAATGATACCACATCTCTAAGAATCGATCTGAAACATTACTTACTTTGTGTTTTGCCGTGTTAGTGAAGTTACCGGAGACCCAATTTTCCTCCTCTCTCCTTGATTCTCTAATTCCTTAACCTAAAATCACTAATAACCCACAAAAGGGTGGCAATGCCCTTGGTATATTTTGTATTACGAGGGATTGCTCGTGGTTATCGCTGTAAATATTGTAATGATTTTCCAACACTATTTTATTTTTCTAAATTTATTAATACACAAATACCATACAATACAAATGTCTATATTCCATTAGTTACTGATAAAAGGTCAATACCCACAAGGAGAAAAAGTTGTCAGTTTTGTCTGAATAATTTTAGTAATTACACAATGATAAAAGTACCGTTGGTATTTGCTAGGTTTCTCAAGCGCATCTTTATACATGACAGTTCTGAGTTTCGGGCCACCACGACACGGATGTGGTCCGGCACAAATATGAATGATTTCTTGTATTTGCTTATTAATGTCATCTACTATAAAAGGTAAGGTTCATTGATTCAAGTTGTGCCACTGGTTCCATGCCATCAACAGCTCAATGGAGAAAAAGCGTCAATGTTCCAGCTACGCTCCAATTAAAACCGACGTCGTTATCTATCAATACTTGCTTTGTAAGCCTGTACCTACGCCTTAACGGACCGATATCTGTAGCATTTCATTTACCTGCTGACTGTAGGGCTGATCATACTTTCTTGGTAACAAAAACTGTCGTCTCTTTTTAGAGATTAAAATTGCAGCATGTGCTTCAGGGATTACTTTGGCATATGATTTTATATTTATGTGGACTTGGTGTGAAGGGTGTGAGGTGTGGAATAAAATGATGTGTATAACAATTACGTGTCTCCCAGGATATGAGCTTTTTCGTTTTTGTTGGTTAAATCTAAACAAGACTTAATTGATGTATCTATGCTCAATCGGAGTGAAATGTGTAGGCATGCCGCGAATCAAATAAGATAGACATATTGCTCTAACTGATCAGTTATGTGATTATGTAGGATCTTTAATTAGCTGAAAATTAATAAGCAAAAAACTGATTTCCCAAAAACTTTTTCGGTATAGAGGAGAGGTCCTTAGACATATTAAATCAATTATCATGTCATGAATACTCGTATGATGCCCTCGCGTGGCGTAGTATTGTGTTATCTAAGATCGACAATATTTTAATATTTCCCTCGCGCCAGCCCTCTTTCTTCGTCAACAGTACTACCGGCTCAGCTTTCAATTTTACTAGGCACAGTAAATATTGTTTCTATCACTTCATCTATGAATGAAAGTATGATCAACTAGGCTGGTGTTGAGACATTACTGTTTTAAATGTGGCTAGTTGCTGTTTTGTACAACAAGTTTGGTTGTGGGGTAATATTTTGTTATGGTAATAGGTAGTTTGTTTTGTAATTCTCTCGCATTTCTGTAATCATTAAACTTTGCTTTGAAGTTATTTATAACATGACTAGCTTCCGCCCGCGGCTTCGCCCGCGTCAAATTAGTTTTTGTCAAATTCCCTTATGTCTAAGAGACTCTTACAGGGGCCAGCCCAGGAGTACCATTTTCAAATTCCACACTTCTTGTGGAATTTGAAAACGGTACCCCTCTTGCTCATTGCTGAACATAAACGGGTATTGTAGTGCGTCATAAAACTTAGGACACCGTGATCAATGTGTTATCATAGGTTTGAAAAACAATATCGCGCGATGCGAACTGTTCACCACACTCCATGGCAGCGACTTCGTTTAATAAGGGTGCATTATAACGTCTTTCATGTTCCCCGCTTACTATTACTAATTTGTGATTTTCCTGTGGCATTTTTTCTAAGGCTGTTTTGAAGGTGTTAATGAGGTTATTGTGTTCGTGCAACATTCTTTGAATTTTTAAAACAATGTCCCTCTCATCTCCTTCAATATTTTGACATCAGAGGTCAACCTAGCTGTTTTCGTCTCCCATAAAATAAATCTGTAGAAATTTTGGTTGATTATTGTTTGTGGAAAGCAAAGGGCCAATCCTATAATAAACTTGCCCTTGTACCGTAAATGTGGAAAAATCGCCGAGATTCATTGCTGTCCTTTCTTCTGTCGTTGCTCCTCGGGGTCACCAAGCGTTGGTACTGATACTTTGCCTCCAGAACAGCACATACCTAGGGTTTCTTCCTTCCACTTGAGTGCCTCACAGTGTCTGCATTTATTGGCCATTCTACCTATGAGGACTAATCGATGATTAAAGAAATCAAGTAACAGATCATAATTAAAAGCAGCATCGGCAAATGCCTCCCACGTATTCATCGTAAACGTGTACGTCTCCTTTCTGCTTGCCGCTCGGCATTAATTAAACGTCGTCTACATGTTTCTTCGGAGGTCTCTGCGGCTATGTACGAAGCTTGACGCTCAGCATCTAAGATTTGGCGAGCTTGGGTCTGTTGAGAAGTCTCAGCAGCTCTTTGATCCGCGTGACGCTCGGCATCAATGATTTGGCGAGCTTGGAATTGTTGAGAGGTCTCAGCAGCTCTTTGAGCCGCGTGACGCTCGGCATCAATGGCTTGGCGAGCTTGGGTCTGTTGAGAAGTCTCATTCCAGTGATCTGGCAAGTTTAGCAGCCCGAGCTCTGCTAGAGCTTTCAGCTAAATTGGACTTTCGTTTGCGAGGCATCGTAGAACAACAAAAATGAAATGAATCGAACGAAACAGATGTACAGATTAAGATTTATTATATTAAAAAAGCTTTGTTCACCCTACCTACACCTACTTGGATAAGTACTTATTTACAACCAATGCAAAAAAGTAGGATGCTATTACTTAGATTAATTGAATAAAAAAAGGAAATAAAAGCAAATCGTATTTATTTAAAGTAACGGAAACTATCTTACCTACTTGTAA